GGCTTAGATCTGGAGAATATGGCTGATTCTCGCCTCAAATCAGGAAAGGGTTCCCGTGAAACCTTGGAAGAGTCGCGATATCAGCGCACTTGGTCCGTAGCAACAGTGTTAGGGCTGGAAGATCTGAACTCGAGATGGCTGCAGGAGTAATAGTTTAGAACCATCTGGCATCGGGTTGAACGCTTGTGACCAGAACAGTTCCTGCTTTAGGGACGAATTTGACTTCGTGAAAACTGGATTTCTCTGGTAGTACTGGGTACTCATAATAAAGACTCAGAGCCTAGCCCGTACACCTTGGGGTTGGATCCAAGCGAGAAAAAAAAAGGTCCTACTTAGGTAGAAAGTTAGCGTGCTCGTTGCTTCCGCAGATGGAACGCCATGCCATCCAACAGCCGCTGGATCAGGCAAGATATGTAGCCCGTGGAGAGAGTACTTTCCCCTATTTAGATGGCACCTGACACATTCTGCCCATTTCGTCGATCGCGGCTACAACCGTGATTATACGGTCACAGTATAGGGTAATCAAAGAAGCTGGTCATAGTCTCCACATTGTCTGTGCTTGGTCTGGGGTACGCCAGACTTGGGTCATGTTATCATCAGGAGCAACACATTCCAAATCGGGCCGTTGGGCTCCTCCTGTGGATCCTCGCCTTTAAGGACTCACGAGCGACGTCTCGCTCGTTCAGCCAGCCCACCGTCCTCTAATCGGGAAATATAATTTAGGCATACGAGATCAAACAAGTAGTATACGAGTCATTGTGTGTGCGTGGTCTCAGAGCCAGCGTCATTGTCCCATGCTGGGAGGGCAATCCGAAATGGATATTAAAGGTCTTGATATCCCATCTTAAAGGAACAGGAATAGCTCCTCCTGCCTGATTGTCCAGCTCAACAGCAGGTCCACTCTTTTACAGTCACAGACACAATGGCCATTTGGGAATTCTCCCAGTCCGTTCTTTTCTTGACCCTTCTCCCCATCCTGTCCTCCGTGTCCTTGACAAATGCTGGCGTTGTTCCAACCAACCAACTCGGCAGATGGCAGTCGAATGTCTGTTAAAGCCGCATCTATCAAGGCTGGGCAGGCCTTTTTTCGTTTTCCCCGGCCCAAGAGTTTTGTTCCTCACACTATCCCGTCTCGTGTACCAGTGCGCACCAGGGTCATAGCCCTTATCGCAGGACTTTCCCAACCCCACCGCCAGTCGAGCCGTCTGTAGCTTCCGATGATTGCAACGACTGGCTTTGGTCATCTATCAAACGAGGGCCGCCCAATGTGATGTTAACTTGGTGCTCTTGCATCCAGACTCCTACTCCCTGCAAAACAACAAAGACTACACCTGTTCATACCGAAACCACCACTTCTCCTGCAATTATAACCACAACGACGCCCACTACGACTCCCAAGACCACAAAAACAACTACCAGTACGACTCCTACTACTGCAATCACAATCACAACCACCACTACTACAACGACGACGACGACTACCACTACTACTACAACCACAACCAATGCTGTCCCCGCCCCTACTTGCGGATCTCCGGGAGCTTGTGGGACCTTTACGAACTGCGGAGGTAGCGACGCATGTATCTGCTTTGGAGACAACGATGGCATCAACGCGTATTGCGTGGAGGATAAGGCGTGCTCCGCTGCCATCGCATATTCCATAGACGCAGACTGCCCTGGCGAAGTCTGCGTGGCAGCAAACAATTGCTGTGGGTTTGCATACTGTGCGCCTGCTTGCTCGTCAAGGGTGTCGAAGACGTCCGAAATGGCTTACGGGAACGAGACAGAGGCGTTAGCTACACACCTGGATATCCGGCGCGATTCAATTTTCTTCGGGTCGGGGTTCCATGATATATAATAAGCCACTTTTGAGTCAGATATATAACGTTAATGCGCACCCGGTCTTCGCCCTGAGATTTGGCCAATATCTCTCTTAATTTCCTTTTCGTTGGATGCCTCGTTCAGGCCTGTTCGTAGATTCGGTCTGGTATGGCATAGATCCAGCTTCGTAGCAGACTGGAGAGAAAGGGGAAATAAAGGGGTCGACTATATCTGATTTTCTTCCAGGGTACAGTAAATATATGGTTCTGTCTGAGCCAGCCAAAGGAACAAATTCTCAGCCAGCGATGCCGGTAGGAATATTCATTCCAAGGGCCCTTAGATAGGTACTACTATGTAATGAAATGAAAGCAGGACCCGGCGTCATAATCTGCGCGAATGAAAACGAGAGTGATTAGTGCTGAAGCACATGGCACCTCGATAGGGCGGTGCCTTAGGCAGATTAAGAAAGAGTGATCAGCGAACAAAGCGTCTAGCAACTTCCGTCGATGGAGTAAGACGGGATTCCGACTTCTGTCTCCTGGAGACATTGCCCGACGTTGAGAAGCGTAGCGCCGCTGCTGCAGGTATCGTCCGTGTACACCGTGACTGTGGTATCGTGTTAGTATTACTGCCGGTTGAGACATCATGTCTCATAGAATAGTTGTAAGGTGCTGTATGAGGCCTCACCTTGACATCCGAATGGCTGGCTGAGAAGAGCGATGGCCTTGGTGCCAGGGACCGACTTGACACAGGTGGCGCCACCTGTGCCTTGGACTTGGCCGATGAAGCCGTCGTTGCTGGCGTGGGAAAAGAAGTCGGCTTGAAACCCGGCCAGGACGTGCGGTTTGGTGATATCTGTGACTAAAAATTGCTGGCCCTCAGTCTCCCCGACATGTTCCGCTGCTGTCACTGTCCCGTAGCCGTGGACGGTTGGGATGCGGGCTGCGTATGCCGCTGTCACCGCGACGGCGAAGACAAGGGCGGAAGATTGGGCGAACATCCTGGATTGGGTATGTGAGATGTTGGGGATGCGAACGAAATGGCTGTGGGGATCAGACTCAGAAGGTGAGCGTGGGATAGAGAGTTAGTGACGATAGAGATGTAGTCGACGGTTTTATAATCGGGCTGTCGCTCAATGTCTTGGGGACACAGTTTGCGTCCCATTCTTTCAGCTTGGAGTCCTCATTCCCATACACGAAAAGCAGACGCCCCGTGATGAATGGGCCTTAAAGGCCACCCGCATGTAGCATTTTGGACATCCTCGAGCATGGAATTGGCATCCCACTCCTTTGGGGTGCGGTGTGATAGATCTTAGATTGTGCTGCAAAAGGTGCTTGTACGGGTCGTCACCGGGAAGCTGTCATTCGAAGCTAGCCTTTTTTTCTCACAGATACAGCTTCCTGTGAAGTTTCTCGTGATTCTGTCGTCAGCAGAATGAGTGGTCCCGAAGATACACAACTTTTTCAGCTGTGTTGGAGTTCTGGAATAAGACTCGGCCGTAGGCGGTCAGCAACACAGGAGAGGTATGAATATATGCGACCCTTCAGCTGGCTCTATGTTCTATACAGTTACTAAACAAAACATCCCATCCTCTCTCATCCTATCACGTCTGACCTGCATTTACCTAAGGCAGAGTTAGTCACAACTCAGCTGTTACTCCGTCGGCGAAAGCGGTCTCATGGGCAGGCCCCCAAAAGCCTTGGCGGCATGAGTTTATATCAACCCTTGTCGTGATTGTCAACTCTGATCAGACACTGCATCTCAACCGTTATCATCTGTTAGCGATTGGGACAGAGTATATGACACCAGAGAAAAAGGGAGAATCACCGTCATTTCGTATCAAATTTGTGATATAATGCGGGTCCAAACCTGGCTTCCTCTTAGAAACTTCTTCATGCCACCGTATGGGTTGATTGTTGCACAGCTGATCCTGGGGACTGCGCTGCAGTCAACGACGTGATGGCCTGACCGTGCGGAATAGGAGAGGCTGGTTCAAGAAGGGGCTTCCAGTGAGTGGTACGGGCTCGAAACCGGCTGTCTGATGACTTAGTCCGTTTCGTGCAATGGGATTTGAGGAGACCTAGCATTGAGGTTCGTTATTCCTTTGCCGCGAGCTGAAATTAGAGCCCGTGGTCGAAGCTGACTGTATTTACACCACACACTGCGTAGCTCAGCTGTGCTGTATGTCGAAGCACGCCAGGAGATGAGACCCCTGGAATTCAGGAGGCTACGTGTTGTCAAGTTACAAGGCCAGGGCAACAAAACTTGAAGTTGATCCCGAGAAGAAGCTTTCCATCGCGGACAAAAGTGCACAAGATTAATCCGCAATGACTAGATTGAGTGGGCTTACTTGTGCCATGGGAGACTTCCAGAGCAGTTTCTGCGTTTGAGCCTCCCTATTCGTTTGCTTACCTTGGCAAGGTAAGGGGTGCCTGAAACGGAGCGGTGGATATGGCTAGGCTGACACCAGGCTGAATGAAACGGCGCGTCCAACGTGGAAGTTTGTACTTGACGGAACACGGAGCCGCACCCTGGTTAGCTACTACCCGATTCTTCACTGATCCAACCCGTGTCAAAAAAAGTACAGTGATAATATGGTAGGGCGAATACCGGTCAGGTCAGGGAGTGGAATGGCAAGATCCATCTCTTCGAATGTGTTGCGATTGGCACCGATAACTCGAAGACGTCGTGGTTCAAGCGCCGGCTAACTAGCCCAACTAGCCATGAGAGATCGCGAATCTCCATTGAAACTGTTCTCTAGGCCCGGCCCTTCTTATTAGGACGCAGAGAGATTCATGGACATCACATTACGACGAGAGCGTCAAATTCATTGCATTGAGTTCATTTAGGCCATTTCAGTCGGGTTGGAGCTCATCCAGCTGTGATGTGGCAAGGTTGGTTGCTTTGTCGCCATTCCCCAAAGCTCAATGGGAGTTCGTTGCAGAAGTAATGGCTCGACTGTATTCTTGCCGATAATGGTATTTGCTTTCGTTTCGCAAAAGCTTTGGAGCCCAGCTTGGCAGAAAGACGGTACAGGGATCGAGTGTACTCGCATTCCTCAGGATTTAGGTATATTATCGCGGAAGGCTAGTCAACAGCTTAATGTGCAGAGCAGAAATCCGACGGCGATTCAGAGTTCCCTTCCAAGCTTCAACGAAACTTAAAATGACTCTCCAACATTAGGCGTTATTGGTATACAAGCTGTCCTTTTCGACCTCTTTCAGCCACAAACCCCAAGGCCTGTCAGAAGTCGCCCTTATGGAGACTTCACAGTCCTGCGCTTGTTGAGCGGTCAGGGGCTCAAATGCACCAGTCCCTCCGTTGCCAGTCTCGCCCGTCCATGTTGTGGCCTCATCCCCAGATAACCCACCAAATGCACCTCGCAGCAGTGTTGCTGTAGTCTGAGCTTTTGCGTTCGACTGAGTGAAGATGGCCTGAAAAACTGCGGTCTGGATGTCAATAGCGGCGGTGGTGAAGCCATGTCGCCGCATCAGCACGACATTGTAGTCAGGAAGCAAGACTGGAGGGTTGGCCGACGTATTTGCAGTGGTCAGGAACGTCTTGGCCAGATCTTCCCCAAGGTTCGGAGTACGGATCAACAAGTCATGCGGTTCGGTGGCGTTGTAGGAGTTCTCGACATCATACAGCGGGACCGGGTCGGGACCAAGAAAGCCTGCCATGTGGTACACCGCTCTGAACGGAACTCCAGCAATGGCGTAGGGAAGAACATCTTCGCTGTGACTATGAATCACACAGGCGATGTCAGGGTAACGCTTGTACATCTCTCCATGTATGTATCGTTCAATATAGCCCATGGGAGCATCGGGATCAACAGCCATGGAGTCGTTCACTCGATATTGGACCAAGTCGCTTGCACTGCTGACAAGTGCAGGAGCCATGTTGGCAGACATGAGATAAGTCGTTGCGTCGACCGGGTGCCGTGCTGAAATGTGTCCATAGGCGTCAAGCACTGACGTGAAATGCAGGATGTGGTTCGCAGAGATGAGATTACGCTGAATCTGGTTGTCGGCAATGTCATTTATTCATCCGTAATATCTACTTAGTTCCAGGGAAAGGGTCCCACTCTAATGGCAATTGCTGTGAAACGCTCACTTACTTGTGTAAGGTTTACCATTTTGAACTCCTAATTGGGCCGTGAAAGACGAGAAGATTAGAAGTTTCGGAGACCTTGTTGGTATGCAAGTGTTCGAAATGATGGAAAGCTCCGGCATCGAAGCTGGCACACCCTAGAAGAGAATGACAAAATTGCAGCACCATACGGGGGTATTTTATTGGTGCCCGCACTTTCTAACTTTCCCCCATTCGAAAACAGACGAACTTGGAACCAATGTGTTGATCATAAGGGCTTCATTGCTTGACGGTGCAACTTGGGTGTCTAGCTCGGTAAATCTTCTAGCTCGGGTGTGGCGCTTGGGCGGCAAGCACTGACAAAGAGCTTGCCTATTCGGCTAAGATTCAGACAGGCCATACTCTCCGGACTCAGCAGATGGCGGCGAACCTGAGGCCTTTGCAGTTCGAGAGTTCAATATCCTTCACGTTATATTTGAGTCGCAGTTGTCGCATATCGTGCTCTCCTCTCTTGGATGAGAGAGTACAGAACACGGCGCAGCAGCCCATCAGCAGCATTCTGAAGGTCCCCTCAATGGCGCTCGACCATAGAGGTAGAATCCGCGCGGATAGCCAAGTTGGAGCGTTTGAGCTTTGCAGAAGTCGGCGTTGAGATGATAGCACCGGCCAGTCATACGAGGTATGACGTCTGAGAGAAAGTTGGTCAGGGGGCATTTCGACAGAATCGCTTCCTAAGTCAGCCGGAAGGCGGAGTGGTCAGGGCCCGGTAGTCGCAAAGAAGATCAGCCATTCTCATGAAACCTTGGTGTCGTCAATATCCATAACTCCCGGCACTTGCACCATCGTTTCTTTTTCAAACACAGCCTTAAGTCTTTTCTCAAATACAGCCCTAAGTCCGATCCTGAACTCGGACATGCGCACACCCAGAATCTTCAAGATCGCGGTTTGTCTTGAGTCGAGCGTATCCCCTTCCCTGCAGACAAGATAGCCTTCTTCTTCATCCATCGACCCTTCCGGACGTTCTTCCAACATCACTCTGCCCTTGACCAGACGTGTTGGAATTCCGAGTTTTCGAAGAGTAGGTTCAATCTGGACAGGCAGCGGATCATCCTCGCCGCCCTCAACACCGTACTGAGTGTGAATTTCTCCAGGTGGTATTCTGACGTCTCGAGTCGCAGTGCTGCCGCTCCGAGCAAAGTCCTGATTCAACCAGTCTGCAAAATATTCTTCGATTTTTGGAATTTCCTGGTTTGTGAAGAGAAGGCCGACTTCGCCTTTGACATAGGGTACCAAGGCACTAACCCCCGGTACGCACTCCGTTTCCTCCGTCTGTCCCAGAGCCACCATCAAGACTTTGTTCTTTCCCATCATTATCCTGGAGTCACTGAAATCTGCTCTGACCTGTTTGAGGAAATTGTTGCGAGTATTTTGGACGTCAAACACCCAGATGAAAGAGTAATTTTCCGCCGCATCTCGAACATTTGCGGCGAGTCGGCGAACTAGCTCCTTCCTGTTTTTGCGCACTTTCGAGGTCGGGACGACGCGGTTTCGTTTCGACGGTGGCATGGTGAGATATTGGGGGGACTGACAGGCGAAAGGGTTCTGAGGCAAGACGATGTTGTGGATGTGGTCAAATGCCGTCTGCGCTTGGACTGCGCCGAAAAAAAAATATTGAATTTCGAAAACTATTGCCAAGAGGAAGGTAACCCGACTATTGGCCAAGCCTCGTTAGGGCAAATGGCTTAGTGCTTGAGTTCTCAGTGGAGTTCATATTGACAATTATTGGAGCTCAAGCGTGGCACTCTGTGAATCAACGAGACTCCCTTGGAGCGTCTATTTGGTCTCGGGAGGAACTGGAAGATTAGAGCTAATCAGAAATCACAGCAGCCTGAGTCCCTTCTCTCAAAATTAATACATACCAGGGAAAGGCCATACTCATGCATAGGTTGTGCGGCGCTGAGTGTATTCAAGGAAGGACTTACAATAGAATTTAGGCTGCTAACGATCTACGCATCGTCAGCTCAAGTACACTGAAGGCCATTGTCAAATTCATATGCGACGGCGGTCATGGAGATGCAGACAACTATCTTAAGTACCGACTATCCTAATCAGTCTCCCTTCTTTACTCTTGTGCCTTGACGAAGTCAATGACGGCGACATTCGGACCCGGCCAATGTTTCCGCGCGCGCAGGAACCAAAGGCCGATGGCAAAGAAGAAGACGAAGAGGAATATCGGCCCCGCATAGTTCATGTTCACCGCCGTCACAGGGATCGTGCTTGGAATCGGCAAAAACACCATGATATACAGTGTATAAACGAGGGCGAAAGAGTTGATATAGACTCCGTATCGACCCAGGTTCCATCCACCCAGTTCCAGGGGTTTACCACCGCGCGAAGAGGTCCAACGCGCCAACAGCATTGCCGAGATTGCCGTGCCATAAGAAAAGTACAACGCTAAGGACGAAAGCGCTGTGATGGCTCCGAAAGCCGTGGTGGAGCCGATATTCAAAAGTGACAACAGCATGACAACGACAAGCGAGAGCCATATAGATCGGATCGGTACATGGTGGGTTGAGTCCACAAGTGCAAACCAGCGGGGTAAGCCCCCGTCCCGGGACCAAGCCCAAGTCAGCCGTGACACTGAGGCAATAGACGCTATGTTGACGCAAAATGAAATAACAAAGAGCCCACAGACCATCGCAGTGGTTGCTTTGACTGAGCCTGTGACCCGGAGGAGGATCGTGATAATGGGAAACCCAGAGCTGAGCACTTCGTCAATGGGACCCATAGCACTGAGGATGGCGATCACCATCGCATATGCCAGGACGCCGTTCAAGGCAATGGACCAGAATGTTGCTCGCGGCACCGCCTGAGGAGCTTTCTTTGTTTCTTCGCTGAGATGGCAGGAATCATCAAATCCAGTGAAACTCCACGCACAAGTGAGCATGCCCAAATTCCAAGCAACATAGGTATTGGACCAGCCTGAGGAAATGGATTGTTCCAAGAAGATAAATTCAGCACTGTGGCGGCTGCCCATGACGACCAAGACGACAAGAAACAGGACAAAAAGACAGACGTGGAGTATTCCGGCCACAAGCTCAAGCCAGGGTACAATCGCGAACGTTTTCCCGAAGGAGTTGATCAGACCCTGGACAAACAGGATAGCGATCATGATGAGTGTGATGTGCCAAGTCTCGGGGACGTAGCTCGGATGATTGAGCATTGCCAGCTGCTGCAGGATGATGGCGGTGATATTTGCAATGCCGGCGAGCAAAGAAACCCAGCCAAACCACGTCATCCAACCTTGCATCCAGGTGATGAATCTTTTCATATTTGACGGAGCCAGATTGTATGTCCAGTGGTATTGAGCGCCGGCGATCGGAATAGTCGATGCCATTTCTGCGATAGATGCCGCTTGCGCGATTGCCCCGAAGTAGACAATCACGACGCTCCAGGCAAACGTCTGAGGGCCTCCGTTGTAGAGAGCGAAGAACATATTTCTGTCACTTGTCAGCTTTAATGCATTTTTCAAAGCGATATACACTCCTCACGTATTCATACCCTCCCACGTGCTCATAAAGGTGAGAGAAAAGGCAAAGATCTGGGAGAAGCTGAACAGTCTCCGAACTCTCGTCACACTCTCAACGTTCTGACTATTTGCACCCATGTTTGAGGCGGCCACTTGGCCAGATTCCCCATGATCACCACTCCTATGGCTTGCGAAACGGTTGATAGTTAACTGCACATCTTTGTCCACTTTGTGCAACTCGTAAGCTTCGCTGTGGTCGGACATCGTATATATATATTTTCCAGTATTAGTTGGAGCAGGACGGACTCTGGGAAAGGACGTTTCGGAGTGGAAACGTCAGGTTGCAAGAGAGAGAAGAAGTGGAAAGAGAGGTGAAGGAAAAGAAATTGAGAGTAGAGATAGCTGGGCCCAATGAATTCGAGACCGACTTATCGAGGGCAACAGGATCCATCTTTTAGCGAAGCCTCTAGTTATTGAGAGGTAGAAACGCAATCAACTACTGCTGCTGCTGAGTTGCCATGAGCCCGGGGTACTGCCGACCAAACGTTGGGAGTGCATGGGGGAGGTCCCGCCCCAGCGGACGCAAGGAGGGCGTGAAGCAGGAGGGGGTCCCGATGCTGAAACAGCCATCAGCTACCACAGCATTGTTGTCCAAAACGCCATTTGCCGAGGAGGGTGTTTCCTTGCCCGCACGGATGCACCTAGACAAATACTGGATGGTGTATGCATTTACATTGGACGGGATTTTGGTTTGCATCCGGGGGAAGTGGACTCGGTGGGGGATCGTGACGGTTCAAGTGACAGTATTAATTGACCCAAATTGCCCAAAGCAGCCTTGGGCAGCCCAAACGCAACCAGGTGTGGGGGAATGACTTTCAAATGACGAGTGGCTGGCTCGGACTACTTCCCCGTCTGCTCGGCGACGGAGATGTCGACCCATGTACGTACAAGTCGTCCAAGGTTTTTCAGCCTCTCCAGCAGGAATATTCCCTGGTCGGATTGGATGTTCTAGTCCACCTCACGCTTAAGACCGAGTTAAACGCAATAATGTTACTAAGTGGTATCGGGGATATGGTTCCGGTCAGAAGGCTTCCAGCTAGATGCACACTTGCAGGGGCACCCCTTCGCTATCGTGTAGATCCTTTTGGCCTGCTCAACCTACTTCGCCGCTCAATCCGCTGGCAGATTCATTGGGGCAGTTGGCCTCAAAATTCCCCATGCGTCTAGGGGGGGCACCGGTAAGCTAGAAGCTTGGAGAAATGTACTGGTCTCTCTCTACCGACAACCTATCTCATCCATTACATGTTCCCCAGATTGCTCCGCCATGGAGAGCATGCGTCCAGTTCTTACCAGCAAGAAACCCATGCCTCTAAATGAATCCATCAGTTATCTGAGGCGAGTGTTGCTTGTAAATACCATGGGTACTTCGCCCTATTTAGTGACGGCTAACTAGTGAAGTTGTGGTGGCTTCGACTGTTGATCCCCTGAAGAATGCAGACGTCCTCGTATTCATGCCCTTGTAGCATTGACACCATACGAAATCCTCAGCAGCAACATGGATGTTGCGGACCCGCTGAATTCGGTATAGGCATGGAACATCTAGCCCTTCAAGACCTGGTCAGGGCGATCACTCCCTTGCCTGCCATCAAGGATAACAGAACCCAGACACCCACTGTTGCCGGCCTTCAATTTCCAAATCCATTGGCACACTTCAGCATTCCTCTTTGTCCTGCTTTCATACCCAGCTGCGATTATCAGGATGGCTGATAAAGAGGCTCCTGCTTTCTTTCAGATTTCATCAGACAATCATGCACCATGGGTCGTGGTAACAGCCTCGGTGTTTCTGATATATTCCATCATGGCCGTGGTATCCAAAGTGGTTTCAAAGCTTCATCTCACGTTCATGAAACCATACGATTGGCTGATAATCGCATCAACAATCACCGCTTTCGTGCAAACAGCTTGCGTTATCGCTGCATGCAAGCATGGTCTGGGACAGCACCGTGATGCCATCTCCAAGGAAACGTTTGCCGCCTTTTCACGAGTTATGTAGCACCAGGTTTCGATGGATGGATTTACTGACAAAATGTAGTATGCGTACGCAGCCCAGATACTTTTCGTTGTCGCCTGTGCTTTCGCAAAAGCATCCGCAGTCTCTTTTATTTTGGCCATAGCTCCACAAATGCGGCTTCAACAGTCATCTTACGCTTTGCTCGGGGTCGTCTCTTGCTGGGCAGTGTCTGCAGTCCTTGCTCTGGCTTTCCAGTGTCAGCTATCCCACCCGTGGTTGTTTGAAGAGGGGAAATGCATTGATCAAGAGGCGCTTTTCCTCTTCATAGGCATTGTGAATATCCTGACAGATCTCGCCTTGGTCGCCATACCCTCTGCTATGATGTGGTGGGTGCAGACAAACACCGGTAGAAAGTGGCAGGTCGTGGCTTTGTTTGCGTCTAGAATCATGTATGTATCAGATGTACACGCGGCTGAAGTATTCCACTGATATGCCAATACAGAGTTCCAGTTTTCGTTGTCTTTCAATTAGTGGAGTACCACAAATTCTATGAGTCCGACGACAGGAGTTGGAAAATGGTCGGCCCCGCCATATTGAATCAATTGGTTATGAACCTCTCCATCCTCACCGCATGCATACCAAGTTTGAAAACGGTGCTTGACATGTTCAAGTCTGGGACCTCATTCTTCACGGTGCCAGTGCAGTATCAGTCTGCAGTGGATAACAGTTCCCAAGGACTGAGATCGAAGTTAGCCACCGCCGTTACTCAGAGAATCGCATTGAAGAGAAGCGCCAACAGGAGCCAGAACGACACAGCATATTCGTCAAGGGAGTGGCCCACGAAACAGATGAAAGCCGTCAGTGGCCAGCATTCCGTGCAGATATCGAGTAATGTCAGAAGCAACTCTGACTTGAAGGATATTCCCGTGCGCAGCGAGAGCCAGCGAAGTCTGACGGAGAACACGATCATGAGGACAGTAGCATACGAGGTCGGGTATGAGGATATGATGGCGACACATCATGCCGCCGGCTCAGATGGTCAATCTCGAGTTTCGATCAACAGTGATGCACAGCACTCTTACTAGACCCACAATGCAGAGTTTCGGCCCTTGCCGGGGCTTGATCAGGGGGAACATGGCCCCCGATGAGCCTATTACTACTTCTTCGGGCACCTGTGTAATGAGTAGCACTGCAGACGAAAAGTGAATTCTCCTCGAACTAATCCATTCATGAGAACGACAATATTTTGAATCGGCTTCTGATAGGAGCGACAAATCAGCAGGCTGTCTTGCAGCCCTTCCGCGGACGGGAGTTCTTGCGTGGCCCAGAGTGTGACCAAAAGCTACTAGGCCTAATGGAGGTCATCACACATGAGGAGTCTTGGGAGTCTTAGCGAACACACTATCCATGCAGCTAAGTGTTTCCCCGTGCCATCCGTTACGAGCCCCTGTGGCTTCAACGGAAGAGAGGACCAGACTTTCCGTTTCTAACTAAAATAGATGTCGACTACCTCCTGCAGGACCTCGGTACAGGTAGGGTACCTAATACCTGCTAGGGTAAGTCTGCCAACCTGGCTTCGGGGCCGATTGCAAAAAGGAGTCTACTGGTAAGGAAGAGCCCGGTCTGGCTGTTTGGGAACAAAATCTCCACATTCCGCTGCGAAGGGCCGTGCCCTGGCAAGTTGCGTGATAACAGTAGCGCACAATCCACCCATCACTCAATAAACCCTGCCAGGCTAGGCTGTCTCGGTCCAAGCATCATTTCATTCAACTGGGGAGCTCGACTTCCTGAAAATGTCAAAGGTACTCATCCGTGTTCAGAGTATCCGAGTACTGCAATACGCCGCGTTCCTACACCACTCACGGGCGAGTCGCTGAGTCAGCCAGCATTTTACCACCCGCGTTGTGAGATGCTTGAGACTTCACCGCTACTGGAACCAGATCGGGCCTGGTCAGAACATGGCGACGACGGCAGCAATGGCGGCATCATCCACCCTGAGCAAGACACGACATGGAAAACAGAGACACGAATCATGATCGCCAACACAGTGCCCTTGGTTTTGACGTACTTGCTACAATATTTCTACAGTTTGATTATTGTGCTAGTCGTCGGCCACATCGGTGAAGACGAGCTCGCTGCCGTGTCGTTGGGGGTTACCACCATGAACATTGTCGGCTTCGCCATTTTCGAGGGCATCGCAACGAGTCTAGACACATTATGCGCGCAGGCCTTTGGCTCCGGGAATCTGAAAGTCGTCGGTTTACATGTTCAACGAATGATATTACTCCTGCTCCTTGTCGCTTGCCCAGTCGGCATGCTATGGCTCTGTTCACCCTGGATCCTTGCAAGAATGATCCCTCAACCTCAACTGGCGATTGTGGCGGGGACGTTCCTGAGGACATCCCTCATCGGTGTACCCGGGTACGTGGTGTTCGAAGCCGGTAAGCGGTTCCTGCAATCCCAGGGAAACTTCACTGCGTCTTTGGTCGTGCTTTTGATTTGTACGCCCATTAACCTTGTCCTTAACTGGGTGCTGGTGTTCAAGCTGGACCTGGGAGTCACGGGATCTGCCCTTGCAGCCGCTCTGAGCAACGATTTGCGAGCCATTCTGCTCATCCTGTATATCGCCCTCTATCTCCCGGACACGCACCAGTGCTGGCCCGGGCTTCTCCCCAAGACCATCCTTCAAAACTGGATGCCCATGATCAGGCTTTCTGTCCCCGGCGCGGTCATGACACTGGGAGAGTGGTTTGCCTTCGAGCTGCTCAACTTCAGCGCCGCGTACATCAAGGCTGGTGGAAGCGCCTTCACAGGCTCGGGGCCTTTGGCGGCCCAAGCGATCCTTTCGACAACCTCAGTGCTAGTATGGCATATCCCCTTCTCCGGGAGCGTGGTGGCAAGCACAAAAATCGGACATTTGATAGGGAGAGGCTCAGTCGACGCCGCGAAAACAATATCCAAATTCTACGCCACTTTCTTCTCCGGGACCGCCCTATTCGACATGATACTAGCCCTCACCGCCGGCAGTCTTATTGCGCGTTTCGGCACCGCGGATCCGTCCAGCGAGGTGCGAGATCTCGTTATGGGGACTCTTCCCTTGGTCGCGGTCTTTCAAATCTTCGACGCAGCGGTCTGCTGCATTCATGGCATAATGCGTGGCCTGGGTCGTCAAGCCATTGGCGGTTGGGCTACGTTCGCTGTCAACTATTGTATTGGAGTTCCTTTGGCGTTGGTGCTCTCTCTCGGTCCCCCGATGCTTGGGTTGGTAGGTCTCTGGTCGGGGCTGTCCATTGGAATGGCTGTGCTGGCGTCGGTGCAGGCAATAGTGTTGGGGATCATCGACTGGGAAAAATGCGTCCTGGATGCGAGAAAGCGGGAGGAGAGATGCGATTAGTGAGTGGTTGTGGAGTCTTGGAGAGCGGCATCTTGACGGTGTTGCGCGAGAAGCTGTTCGGCCAGAGCCTGATGGGGGGAATATGAACCAAGTATATGTATCCAACGGACGGCCAAACCTGAGTCTTCCCAAATACGTGCCATGGCAGAGCTAGTTTTGAGCTCTGAGGCATGTAGTAGACGGCCATCGACAATGCTTCCAATCTCTAAACACAAACAGAAGGGATGCATCCCACTTCTGAAACCTCAGTTGCATCAATTTTCACTAAAGTCAATCACAAACCCCTCTCACACGATGACCTGTGTAGGTGCCAGAGCGAGGACCAGGAGTATCCTGTTATGAGCTAAAGGAGCGCAGACGCCAGCTATCTGTAGATACAACCAGGGAAAGAGGTCATGTGGGATCACGTGGTGTTTCATGGTACTACACCTGCCCGAAGTATGCGCAGTAAACGCGGTACTATCTGACAACAGCAACTGAGTGCCCAACCACCATTGCTGACCTCATTGCCCTTGTCCTGGCCAGTGGCTCTCTAAAGGGTTTCGCCCATCCTGCCCGCATCTTAGACCCATTTGTTCTTGGCTCTTTTAGCCTCAATCGTCACTTCAGGGTCACTTTCAGAGACACTTAACTACAGTATCCATGCTCTTCCATGACGGCTGTGCCCAGCATCATACCCCCAGCTGACTGGCGCCGAAGGGAGCCTTTGACGCCCCGTCCCTAACCGGCTCATGAGAGAGCAAGATCGAAGTTCCCAAACATCACAAATAGGAGCATCTCTTCCGGCTCCGCTTGCGCATCCTCTCTGAGGTCAGAGCATACAAATTCACTGACACAAATATCCGCAACTGGGCATGATCGGGGCGTGATCACCATTGCTTGACTGACTCGGCTTGTGCCACAGCCGCATTCGCAAAAACTCTTTCTGCGTGGGCTTCCGCTAGGTGTTGTCCATGAGGCGGCGGCCTCTATTGGTTTATAGGGACCGGGATTGAGCGGATTCCCGCAACACTAATGCAAGATATATCTCCACATTGAACCTTGTTTCCTTCTCGCACCACAATTGTCTGCAGAAAACAGAAAACAAGGCACTTCGTGAGAATGAATGCTCATGTGTTGTGGTAGAAGATTGAATCACGCGAAGACTCCATTGAGTGTGAGTGAGAGGCCCAAACCGGGCTATATAAAGGCTTCTGCCTCAGGTCGAACAGCTTCCACTTCTTTCATCTCAATTCTCATCAAAGCTCGCTCAAACCATTTGCCTCGTGATCTTCATTTTTCACCTTTCTCTCCTCTTTTCTCCAGTGCCATCCGCATTAACCAGAAGTCAGCCAGAATGGACGGAGCTCATCTCTTCCAGGCAATCGATATGACAACCACCACTGGCACATGCATTCTTGGAGCCGCGTCATGGAACCTCAACAGTTACCCGCACCATCCAGATATTGTCAACTCCTATCCTTAAACCTTGGAGCTTCATGGCGGCCCGGTCCAAGTGGACTTCGACAGCCAGGCTGCATTCCTGAATGATCATCGTTCCCTTGATGTTGACCTGCACGATGATAGTGCTGGGCATCTTTGTGTCTCGTGGGGAGGTTAGGAGCTCTCGACGGCACGGAGAGAATGAGTCCAGTTGTTGCCAATCACGTCCGTTCAATTCAGTCATAGGCCCATCCATCATTGATTTCTCGTCCAATTCTTAAAACTCGAAATCGCCCTTATCCTCAGGCATCCCCTTCAACTCAGAGGTCAAATCCGTGTCTTGGCTGCAGAGCTGACAAGGGTAATCGTGCTTGTTTCGGATCACCGTGGTGTGAGAGATGCCAACTCCAAACCGGTCAGTAAGCACAGCCCGTCAGTATTATTGCCTATTTGGATGGGGTCAATGGCATAACTTCTGCCAAGCAATCCAGCAATGTCTCACCAAGCTGTCCAAAGACGTGACAAACATCTCCCGAGCTTCTGGACCCCAACCTCAGCCGATCATCCTGGAACTCGATCTCGAAACAGATGTGTTAGGAGAAGCTTTGACTTGACACATTCCGTCGAGCTCGATCTTAGGTTAGAAGACGGCACGTGGCCTAGGACACGTGCAATCGCCAAGGAACAATTTGACCTGCTCATCATGGAAGACATGTGGGGGAGATGGTATACAGCCAGAGACGCCGAAAGTTTTTCAAACCAGGAGCAGGACTTATTCTCCAGGATCAAGCTCCTTTTGGGCTGCTCCAAATTGCTTCGGACCTTTAACTCTATCTGGATCATCAGTCGTGCCTTCCTTGACGACACACTAAGCCTGTTTGTGGCAGCTGAGCTCGCCTATTTTCTGGCGTTCCGTCTTAACTTATTGTTCAGAGAGTCATTGGGAATGTGGCCCTCTATCAGTTCGGATACTGTCACTGGACCACGTCAGGCCGTCCTTCTCTATGGCCTCGAAGCAGTTCTTCGTGGGTTAAGCTCTTTGGGGAAGACTCACTGGAAGTCAGCTAAGACACCTTCTTCTCAGTATCTTCATTGGTTGAAGAATGACCTCAACGAATGTTTCAAACGTGTGCACGATCATATTCGGGACCAAACATGTGGACTTCCCGTACAGAATAGCGAACCGCGGAGAACACAGGTTCTACCACATCTCGCGGAATTTGCTCGCGCACGGGACAAGGATCTCTCAAAACACCTGCTGGTGAGCGTGCAAAGACACCATCGTTGGGTTCGCGCTGTTTCCGCTGATTCATTCAGGGAGCGCGGTACGCTCTACTTTGGTTCTATTGGTAGAATCGCGCAGAGAAATTGTCTCCGGAATCATCAAAGGCTCCGTTAAAACCAGGGAACGACACCCAGAATACTTGGTGACAGTGGACAACAAACTGGTCGAGTATAGGGATTTAACTGACCTTGGATACGAGACACACGATGGGGCCAAAAACAGCAACAGCTCCACGGGTGGACCAACGGAGACAGCTCAGTTTCTAATCGAACAACACCCGGATCCGCCGCAAGCTCTTCGACCTGAGGGCTCCACGTTCACCACTGTTGGCGACGATTTCATTTTGGGGTCAGATAAAGTGTCAAGCATCGGCCGTCAGGGGCCCAATGCCACTGTGAGTATACTAAGCCCAGAAGAGCTGGCCAGGATCAGCGATCCCATTCCTCCTCCAGGCTCAGTAGGTTTCTGCGACTCCTGGGGGCAGTCGATATCTGACTTACAGCTTTGGAACTTTCGGCCCTCCATCTTTGACATCCCGGAGACCACTAATGACAATGATGACGGCGATGACAATCTGTCGGATACTTCTCGAGTGGCCCCGCAAAACGAGATCCGCCTGACATACACTGAAGTTCTGAAGGCAATAATTGCGAGGAGTATTCCAACGTCCTGTTAGCAGGACAACAGGACCGGGATCACCATCAGCAGAATTAATATCGACAGATGGTGCGCTAATAGCTATCCCTAACCGTGGCGTGTACATTGGCTGGGCTGGAGTTAAAGGAAGGGTTGGCTTCATTGGTTGCTTTGGGGTCAGTCTTGAGTGAAAATATGACTGAGCGTCAAGATGGCTCTCTGGAAGCTGAAGAGGCAGGTATGATGCTGGGAGTAATCGAAGAGCAGGGAGATTTTGGCACCTAGTACCAAATAGTGCTAATATCTTGGCTCCCAAGACTTTGTGAGGCTAGGCCAATAACGGAAATTGCGACACGTTCAATTTCACCTGCGCCTAGAATTCTTCCCTCCACAATCACAAACAATGTCGTGGTAGTCTCGGAGGAGGATATAAACCACGGATTTGCCCTTCAATCCCTCTCCCAGGTCCCTCTTGCAAGCTCACGAGTGTCGAGATCCAAGATGGAGAACCCGACTTCCCGCAAATCATCCTCTTCCCCATCACAGAGTTACCTGGTAGCATACAATGCCATCTGCCTGGCCCTGTGGTCCATCATAACCCTCCGAGCAGTTTTCCTCATACCCACCCTCTTTGCTCTGGGGAAACCCCAAGGTCTTCTCGACGCCCTCTTTCCTCTTCTTAAATGGACTCAGACAATAGCCCTCCTCGAAATCCTCCATGCCGCCGTCGGCCTCGTCCGAGCCAGCCCCATAACAACCGCAATGCAAGTCGCGTCGCGGATATTGATTGTCTGGGTTGTGCTAGACATGTTTCCACAAATTGTCTCGACGACGAACAGCTTTGGGAAGTCGGTGCCGGGCTCGACATCCGGGCCGATTGCCTTTGCGGGGATCTTGATGGCGTGGGGAACTACAGAAGTCATTCGATATGGGTTCTTCGTGTGGAAGGCAGCCATAAGTGAAAGAGTCCCCGGCGCCCTTACGTGGCTGCGGTACAACACCTTCTTCGTCCTATATCCCATTGGTATCTCCAGCGAATGTCTGCTTATGTACCTGGCATTGTCCCCGGCAGCGAAGCAAGGACAGCGGCTCGATCTACTGTTGAAGATTGTTCTCCTCATTTACATACCGGGGAGCTATATTCTCTACACTCACATGATGGCCCAGCGGCGCAAAGTCATGAAGGGGAAAGGAAAGTCTGCTTGAGACATGTATCAATTTTCGGGACATTTGGATGATGGCATACCCGGTCTTCGAGAGTATCTGGTGGACACCGACCTCAGGCAGGTCGATGGATGACTGAGGCAAAGAAATGGTGAGACGAGACAAGTGCACCATTGCCTCGAGTGGAAGGCGTTTCTCCAGGTTGGCAGATGAACAGGAAGCTAGAAGATTCTAAACGAATGCTGCAAAGCGCGCCGCTACCTGGAGAAGTCGGATGAAAAGGCTGTCTCTGAAGATCAACTTAGATCTCACAACCGAAGCTGTTAGGTCTCGGGTTGCCAGAGGGACATGGGGAGGAATGGATAGTATGTAAATGACGGTTGCCTCGGAATCGGAGGGCAAAGAGAACTACAGAAGATACCGGGAGAGTCTCAATTTTTATTGCTCTTCAGCTCATTTATTGTTCTGTCAGACTGCTGTGTTGTCCTGGTTGTGTCGTGATGCACGCACTCCCGGGCGACATTCCTTAGCGGGACAAGCAGAGGGCAAACTGCTCAGATCACAACTCGCGACTCGCCCTCCTCTTAACTCCCCCCACCATAAACTCAACTAACAGGACATGCATCTTTCCTGGACGAGACAACTTTCCGGGTACACACACAACCCGGTTCTTCACGACTGACAACATTGAAGAGGCCTTATTGAGCAGCGTCAAGGCTACTCAAGATGTCCTTCAGACCACATATCCAAATGGTCAAGCCCAGCTTTATAACGCGCGTTCTTGATGAGATCATTGGGACCGTCCTCTTTTTCGAAAGAAGACACATGGAAAGCAGAGGAGGCTTCTCACTAGCACAGGTCCATACTCAGATAGTACCATTAAGTGTCTGCTCCGTTTCTTCGACATCAGGTCACAAGGGCTGACATCTCTGATAAAGATCGTGGACAAGGAGCCTAGTGATCTTTCCGAAGGTATGTTACAAAGATGGTGGACCAAAACTGTCCTCGTCGCCAAGCGGCCACAGAGAGCCGGCAGAGGGTGTTATCATTGACAGTGTGCCTGTGCCTAAAGCTACTCTGGTTCACATTGTCCCCGGCGTCATTCACTATAACCCAGAAAACCTGGGACCAGCAGTTGAATCCTCTAATCCTAATCGATGCTAAATCATTTTCCCCAAGAGGACCAAGTTTCTTATTCTTGGAGATTCAAAATGGATCTCGCATCTGCATTGGCAAATCATTTGCGCTGCTCGACTACAAAACAATCATGATATATCTACCGAGAACTTCACTTTCAACGACCTGGCAAATGTCTCTATATTTTGCGAAGGGCGCCGTCAGCTTGAGGCTGGAGGCTAGCATGCGCCTGAAGGTCGAGCGACTGCATACCCCGTCGAAAGTGGTTGAGAAATCCTGAAACGGATTGAGCGCCACTTATTAGTACGCTTTCTCATGGTCCTTTTCAAATAAAGGGTGACCTCTCTCTCCTCGGATCGCTTACGTCATACTAGGTGACGAAAACGTCTCATGCACTGTTCTACAAGGTGAGCAGATCCATGAAGTTCCGAGTACCATATTTGTATCCACAACTGTAGGAGATTGTTCCGAACTCCAACAAAATCAGCGATCAGAAACCGGCAATGAGTGGGATGTTCCAAAGGGTTCGGAATTAGTCTCGGACCGAGACATTTGGTGTTCCGACGCGCTGATGAGTATGCCATCTCGTAGTGATCCGCTTGGAGGAGATGGCAAAGAATTAACAAACTCTCTCCGAAGAGAGACCAAATGCTGCTTCGTTAATACCACTGGCTGCGACATGCAAGTGACCGGTAGGAGGATGGATATCTAATCCTTTACCATAGTTTCATGACTGGCAAGCCTTGGGAAACGTGTAGCAGCTGCATGACTCGGTTAGTCCAACTAGCCGCAAGGGCCAGTCAGGTAGGAGAGACTCAACTGGCTGGCTACTACCGAGTATGCCTAGTGGCCTGAGGCGCGTATACAGTATCTACGAGGTGTCTCCAGGGCCCACTAGACCCACCCCCGCGTGCCCCCGCATCCCCGGATCCCGAGAGCGTTAGAAAACCTAGGTGCACAACAGCTGCTGTCTTCTGGCTTCTCATTTTCTCCTACAGCTCTGATACTTGGTTCCAAATCTCCGGTATCGTTGAACTGAGCTGGCCCATATTCGCTGGTATTTGTCATTCACAGCATTGCCACGAATTAGACGAAGAGACTACTCCCATGCATTTTGACGTCTTGACAATGAACCCTGAAAAGGACAATCCGCTGCCGAAACCGGCGAGGGCAAAGCGCTCAATCGCCTGCAATTACTGCAGAATGAAAAAGGTCCGCTGTAAGATACCGTTGCCATGCTCGTCATATACCCATTGTTCTCGCTAACTGCGCACAGGCAATGGCGGCAGCCCCTGCAGCAACTGCCTGGATCATGGAGAAGTGTGCGTTTCGGCCTCAAGGAGGCGCCCTCGTCTCAGCAACAAGGATCCTATGAGCAGAGACGTGGTCAATCGGTTGGCGCGCGTCGAGGCATTACTTCAGGCAGCTGGATCCGATCCCTCCAACGCTCCGCAGATTCCCGATTTTCTGCGCCCACTCGACATCGCGTTCCAGAGAACGGCCAACGCTGTTGAAGATTCCGGAAACCCTTTGAGAGAATCGTCCATAGCGTCCTCCCATGACCAATTTTTAACACGGACTTTCAGTAAAGCAGGGAGAGAAGAGAGAATCTCCCTGCCCAATATGCCTCCTTTAACTGACACCGTTGGCGGCATGGTTCCGAGTATTGAATGTGGAGACACCTCTGATACCCAGGTCTCTGTGTCTCGCCGTGGGACATCCATCTCTGATATGGGCTACACGCAGAATGGCACTATCGAGTTACATTCAATGACCGTGGCCCAGGCTCCGAAGGCTCTACCCCCAGATCAGATAGGCGGCCTTGAGCTAGAGATGCCTCCGCCAGACTACCAAACCAATCCGATTGATCCATGCACCAGCAGTCCTAGCGAAAAGCAGGAAATCAATAGCGTATATTCTTGTGAGAGTGTAAGTCACTGCCAGCTGTTTTACTTCTGGTCTGAGCCTAAATTCAAAATTTCCGTTTAGTCAAACTGGGAGTATCATGGTGTGTTCCCCTGCAGACTCGACATCACTCACACCTAACAGGAGATCAGGGCCAAGATCGTATCTCTCAATTTGTTCCAAACCTGGTATTCAATGGGTTTCTCAGAAGATTGGAAATACCGCTTTCCAAGAAGCCGCTAGTACCTTGACACGAGATGTCACTCGTCGGCTCAAGATCGAGAAAAAAATGTCAAAGGAACGAACGCCCGAGCCACCTGCGTCTATCGCATGGAAATACACCCAAGGTAACGACACTGGACTTTTGAGCTTCCGAGCATGTTACTCACCTGTTCGCTCAGCCTACTTTGACAGGGCGCCCGATGCCGTCTTTGGGGTTGTTAACAAGAACTGGTTCAATGCGCGGCTTCAGAGCCAACTCAACAGCCCCAGCGCTGACGATGATCCGGCCTGGTATGCTCTCCGAAATGCTGTCTATGCTGTTGGATGCCGCTTTGAGCTGTCCGGACGCGCTGGTTTCCGTGAGACCTATCGAACCGCCTGGAGCTACTTCGAAAATGCTCTAGCGGTGCACACCGAGCTACTCTACTTCCGCACTTCCTTGTTCGCTGTACAAGCCCTGACTGTCATGGTATGCACCCCTTTTCGCATGAGCTCTATGTTTGCCGTCTCACCACCTCCCCTAGGCGTACTATACAGAAACCATTGGAAGTCCTTGCCTCGAATATATGCTTATCACGAATGCGGCTCGCCTAGCATATTCAAAAGGCCTCCATCGTCAGCCTGTTCCCTCTTGGGACCTCAGCTCGTCAGAACAATGCCATAGAAATTGGCTTTTCTGGGCAATTTACTGTCTAGAAAAGAGTTGCTGCTCTCGTGCAGGACGTCCTTCGGTTGGTGGATGCCTATGGCTTCCCCGGTTTCTTTTTGCATATACGTTGACCATCATGAGCAGGCTATCAACGACGACGAGATTAGCTGCCAGATCCCAACGGTTGCCCCGGCGGGGAGTTCTGCAGGTGTTCAGTATCCTACCAATCTTGTAAAATTGGCCCAGATGAGTTCTCGAGTTGCAAGAGTGTTCTCAAATGTCCAAAACTGGAGTAAATCACCAGATACCCTGGCTGATACAGTGGCAAAAATGCATGCGGAGCATGTCGAGATCGAAAACACTTTGCAGGGACTGGTCAACCCGGAAATACCGCTTGATAGCGTTAAACTTCCAGCACATATGAACCTTCAACAAGCCAACTTCATTCGGCTCACGTACTTCAACACCATTTTGGATATCCACACTGCTCTCACAAATCCATGGTCACACTTAAGACAGCATCCTACCATCCATACCCAGGTTCAGAAGTCGACGGAGATTGTAGCCCGAACGGTTCGTGCCGCGATACTCACTACACATTCTATCCGTATCGATGCCAGTACTCCCGTTTTGTAAGTCTACGATGCTGCTGGCCTCGTTATCCAAGCAAGTCTGAGATCAGGGCATTCCAGCACTGACAGTCAATGCAGGCTGGCATTCCAGACACCAATATACGCATTCATCAATCTTTTCATTCACATCATGCAGAACCCCGATCTACCTACTGTCCAATCCGACCTCGCTTTGATGGATGTTGGAGCGGGGCACTTTGCCCGTTTAGAGTTCGCAACGGAGGCAGAAGTCCCGATTTTCTTTGCGAAGGAGGTCGCGGCTTTGGCGCGACAGGCTGTCAAAAACCACAGGACCTTTCCACAACCGCCTTTGGGCCAACCCAGCGTGTATAGCGAATCTGGATTTCTTCATGAGAAAAGTGTCGTGGGGACGGAGGAGGCCGGCCCTGACGCGATGAAAAGTCCAGTGAACGGCGTGAGTATTATTCTCTACTCCATACACGTAAGCGATAAAATTATAACATTCGGTGTCTTTCAGAGCTATCCCAATATGTTCGATTTTGAGCTGGATGACTGGACGGCCTTCTTGCCCCTCAGCGACCCTTGAGAGCCTCAGGTCTAGGTCAGTTTATCAAACAATATTCTCTCCGTACAAAAACGGCTTCGGATCATCTTGACCAGCGATTTATCGATGGCTGAAATATCACTGTTGTGTACCCGAGATGCTAAAAGGCTCTATGAGCATGATCCATGGGCCCGAGAATATAAGATTTGAGTATTTATAATTCCTCAATAGTCCAGAAGACAACTTGTGGATCCCACGCTTCGCGCCATACGGACTCGAGCACTAGATCAGAGGGCGAATTGTTACACTCGCAACCAATATATCTTCCTCACATCGAGACCTCGGCAAGGGCACCCGAGAATAGTCCTCACGGTATTCCTGGCCTCTCGGAAACTATACTTCTAACTTAGGATAGGAATACCACGTGGACCAATTTCGACCCTTTTCTTTAGCTCTTTCTCGCTGACGCCCATTTTCAAGCGATCAATCATCTCCTCTGGGTCGAAGTCCGTACCGATAGGGTTCTCGTCGTAGTACTTTGACCGCATGAAGTCTGTGGCGTCGCCTGGAGACTCGAAGTTGTCGGTTTGGGTCTCAATCATGTTCCCATCCGGGTCGCGGTAGTAAATGGACGTTGTTGGCCCGTGGTTGACCGGCCACAATGGCTCTATACCCCTTTGCTTGCGCTGGCGATACGCCAGGAGCAGATCCTCCAGCGTGTCGAAAGTAAATGCCATGTGCTCCAGACCGCACGTTTCCGCATCCTTTGTCTTTGTCCCGGGGACAGCCGCTATCGCTACCCGATGATGCTCCTCGTCGTATGTTAAGAATGCCAGAAAGTCGTTCTTGTAGATCACTTCCGCACCGAGGAAGTCTTTGTAGAATTCCACCATGGTCTCAAAGTTGTTCGTTCGGAGAACAACATGCGCCAGCTTGCTGGGCGATGTGACCTTGGCGGTCGGTTTGTCAAAGTCAGCCACCATCTCCGCTGACCAACGTTTTGTGTTGCTCAGAGAATGTTTGCATTCAGGTACCAATACTTGTGAAAAAACCTTGCGTTATTGAATTCTGCAACTATCTATTTCGGCCTCACCCAGAAAGGTCGGGATTTGAGGAGCGACTGAGAATGTACGGCAAGAAGAGGCCCGATTTGCCGGGCTGATACAGACTAAAGGGTTCCTAAGGCGACTCCTTTCCGGCGCTTTGCGCGCCGCAAACCCCGAGAACTCTTTACAGACGAGGGATTGTTTCCCACTCGCCAACACGCGCTGTGCAAGTTCGGCCCAATCAACCAGCATTTCCAATGATCTCTGGCCAGAATAACTTATGGCCGCGATATGTGCTTCTATAGACGGCCTTCAACCAAGTGCTGACTGTACATTTACCTACAAGGAGCCACGTTTCTTCTTGTCTAACTTACTAAACAAGTGGTGTAGGTATGCACTGTCGATATGGCAGCTACCGGAAATGAAATCAATGGCACTGGCTCCCGAGGCAAAATTCTCATCGTTGGTGCCGGCTATGGTGGATTAGCAACCGCGATCGAACTCAAACGGAAGGGCTTTGATGTCGAGGTCGTGGAGGCTGCTAGGCAGCTGACCACTCAGGGTCAGCCTAAAACCCCAATGTATTGAATGGCAGGGGAGGCCGAACGCGCACTGACTTCTCTCCCAGGCGACATCATTCAGGTCGGATCTAATGCCTCGCGCGTCATGTCAAATTGGGGGAATTTGCTGGAACAGGCAGTCGCAGAGTCCGCCCAGCCAGCGCGCATGACGCTGTTTGACAAGTCAGGAAAGAAATTGCTAGAGGCACCGCTGCCAACAGAGTTCAGCGGATACCCGGTCTTGTACTCGAATCGTGGGCTCCTGCAGCGTTTAATTTTCGAAGAAGCGAAGACCTTGGGCATCGAGTTCCGGTTCGGCAAGCGTGTCAAGTCTTACTTCGAAGAGGACGACTGTGCTGGAGTCGAGATCGACGGCGAGCGCCTTGTCGCGGACGCAGTCATCGCAGCGGATGGAATACATAGCGCTGCGCGGAAACATGTCATCGGTATTCAACAACACCCTCGGACCAGCGGGTTCGCAGTCTATCGCACCTGCTTCCCGTCGGAATGCTTGGCCAAAGATCCATTGACGAAGCCGCTCACTGAGTTGAAAGAAGATCTCTTCCACGTTTGGCTTGGATCTGACGTGCACGCCATCTTGTTCATCACGGTCGCCACTCAATCGGTCGTCATTTTCTGCACTCATAAGGTAAGGTCGCAGCCGGCCGCCGTCATCAAAGAAGTCATTTTCGTTTCCATGGACGTTGCTGACCGTACCGCAGGATACCTACGAGGTCGAAGAATCCTGGACTAATCCCGGCGATCTCCACGACATGCTGAACGTCGTCGAAGGCTGGGATCCAATCATTTGTGCCGCAATGAAGGCAATACCGCCAGAAAAACTGATCGATTGGAAGCTCCTCTGGCGCGACCCTATCCGGCAGTGGGTGTCCCGCACAGGTCGCATCACGTTGGTTGGCGACGCGGCGCATCCTCACCTACCCACCTCGGGACAAGGAGCCGCCCAAGCAATTGAGGATGCAGCGACAATCGGGGCACTGGTCGATAAGTTAGGCAAAGACAATATCCCTGACGCTTTCCGGGCATTTGAAAAGCTTAGGTAGGTGTTGGCCTGTATTCGTAATATACCGCCACATACTCACTCACCTATCACTGTAGGTATGAGAGGACAAGTCTCACGCAGCGAATGGGCTGGGAGACCAGGCATCGCTGGCATCAAACCGACTGGGAGGCCGTTGCAGTGAACCCGGAGTTCTTGAAGATGCCTCAGCCCATGTGGTTGTACACATTTGACGCGGAGAAATACGCATATGACCGGTGTGACGAAGCGGTTGAGAGCTTGAGAAAGGGGACGCCGTTCATATCCACGAACACTCCAGGAGGCCATGTTCACGAGGATTGGACGGTGGAGATGATGATGGCGTTGGAGAAGGAGCAGGCAAAGGATCACTTTTATCGAGTCGCGAACAAATAGGTGGCGAGCCGTACCAGCATACATAACCCAGATATCCGAGTTTGGACACGGCTATGCCGTTGGCCAATTAGAGACGTTAAATTCGTCCCTGCTGAGCCACAGCGGACATCTTATAGCATAACAGTCTCGGAGCAGGTGTGAATGAGAGCAATTTTCCACTTTAGACCACTGCTTCGCCTGAAGATATCCACAGCATGCGTCACACGATTGCTATTTTTCAGTTCAATGCATGACTCAAGATACGAGCCTCACTTTCAGCCTCATTCCGTTGAGTGGACGCAAGCTCGGTCCACTCTTCTGGGGCTCAACCAACCCGGTATTCTCAAAGCTGAAGTTCCGAATGAGCTCCGTGAGGATGGCCTTGAATTCCAGAGTGGCGAAAGATTTCCCGATGCACACTCTTGGGCCTGCAGAGAAAGCCAAAGAAACATATGGGTCATTGGCTGGCTCGGGAAGGTGATCGTAACGGTCGGGGTCGAACTGTTCGGCGTTCGGGCCCCAGATGTGGGTGTTGTATTGAGGTGCGGCCGGCGCGATCATGATCAGCGTCCCTTTTAGTATCCTTACGCCTTCAATCTCGACGTCTTCGGCAGCCTGCCGGGGAAAGGTTGGTGCTTGTGGTTAGGTCAGCATGGCCAGTCTCTCTTTCAGGGGCTTTGGAAGTACTTACCAGGAGGGTAGTATCTGAGCACTTCCTTCATAACGTTGTTCAAAAAGCGCATGTTGTCGAGTTCCTCGTAACTTGGAGAAGACGATGTCACAGTCGACAAGATTTCAGCCCGTAGTCTGTCCTGAACCTGTGTATGGAGTGTCAGGGCGTATAACGTCCAGGTTAAAGCACCCGCGGTAGTCTCGTGGCCACTAGAAGAAACGTCAGTGGGCAGGGCAGTGACTTATCCGGATGAATTGTACTCACGCAGACATAAAATTCAGTAGCTGTAAAGTGTCAGCAAGAAGACACCTGCACCATCAGCTATTGGAGTTGAAACACCTACGTAGCCAAGCATTTCGTCCTCTGACCATGTATCCTTGCTTTCTTCGATCATCAGTGTTAGAAGATCACGATTTCCCTTTTCACCTTTGATGAGGCCTTTTCGAAACTCGCTTTTCCGCTTCCGGATATGTTCTCGAAGTATCTTTCTTACAGTGGCGTTGGCTTGAACAAAGCTCTGGTTCGTCTTCAGAGGAAGCCACTGGCGAATCGGTACAAACTGATGGACAACCGATATGAGAATCTGCAACGGAGTGGCGAACTCGAAAATTTTCCCGTAGCTTGTTGCCAGTTGCGAAGGAGTTGATAGACTATTTAGCTCGTATCCAAGGGCAGCCAGGCCAACAACATCAAGAGTTGTCTTTGAGAGGAGCTCGGACACTGAGGGTTCAATCAGCCAAATTTAGGGGCCATGCCTCGAGAGTTTACCTTCTAATACATTATAGCCGTCTGGGCCAAGTTGGCTCTTGAGAATACTGGACATTTCTCTCGCTTTGACCTCGAAAAAGGGGAGAAGTCGCTTGATGTTACTAAAGGAGAAAGGAGCTGCCGCGTCGACCGGGTCAGTCTCGCTTCACTAGAGTTCATATCACAAGTGCGCGCACCGAGGAGCAGCTTCCTCTGCTTTTTGTGCTCTTCACCTTCCGTAAACAAGATTCCGTGGCCTGCAATTTCTCCCACAACACGTTCGTAGTATCTGGGTTTGACAAAGGAGTAACACTTGGTCTGCAAGACTGCCTTGTGGGCACGGGCAGAGTTTACCATGAGCACCTCGGTGTTGAGAAAAGACAAGTATCTAATAAATGGGGCATCTTGGGCGTCCGCCATCCATTTCTTCTCGAGTTCACTGGGCAGAGCCTTGACCTGATTAAGGAGCTGCCCAAGCACGAGGTTGCCACCCTAGCGGGCCGTAAGCACTCCTAATTGGGGATGTAAAACGGAGGAAAGTATTCATACCTTGGGCCCAGGCAAATGTCGTAAGGGAGATACCAGGAATGGCCATATGAGAACAAAATAAAGTTTGACTGCGATATATTGGGCCACGAAAAGTCCAAACGCCTGGCCAAGAAACCCGTGACATCCTACACGGCCGAGTTTGAGCAAGAGGACTGTCTCAGCGACGGACACTATGGCGCATTTTGCGACATCCATTTCTCGACGACAGCTTTGACTGGCAGATTGCTAACTTAAATTTCCGGGCGAAGATAAAATCCCAAAGCAGATATGTATTAATAACACGATTCGCATATCATGGAGTCCGAGACTCCCCAGCATTTGGGATTTCTTCTTCAGTCGAGTACACGAATAACTTCCTTGGAGTAGTTCCGCGTGGGCAAGCCGGCTAAAGCAAATGGAGAACGGATTCGGAGTAATCCTAAGATCATGCAGCGTTACTAAGCATACCTCCGCCGAATAATATAGGAAAAGCTAAACTACCCTAACAAGGCAAAGTGGCTGTGCTGTGCTGGGATGAAAGAGTGGTAGCCAGGAGGGGGGAGTTGCATAGTCACATGCCAAACCAAAATGGGCTGCTAGGGGGGAGTGCGAGACAGTTTACAGTGCTGGAAGAGTGCCATTCATTACAAATGAGTTAGAGTATCGGTATTCCATGCTTTTAATGCCGTCCACCTATTCCTGAGCGTTTCATCGGCCCTTTCCTACTTCTCAATGTCGTCGCCGTGCTAGGCGCTAGCTGCCCTAGCCACTGCATCCTGGGTGGTGTTGGGGGTGGTGTTGTCTTATCAACGCCAACCAGAAACGCGCTCTCGATTCCCGACCTGCTGGACAGGCTTCAGCGCGTTGTTGCACTTGCCCGCCGAACCCTGAAGTACTCTGTTACACTACAAAAAGCTGCTGTCCAATCTATAGGGGAAACCGCATTCGATCGAACGAGAACCATGAATTCGATGGTGATGGAGAAATCTTGATTAGAGACGGCAGTGTTGCTAGAAATCTCAGCCGACTTTGAAAATTCTATATGTGACCTCTAAGTCGCCATCGTCCCGTACAGAAATTCTACCCATGGACAGAAAGACAGCTTTGTTCACCCAAGCTAGTTTCGGGCTTCTACTTTCAAGTAGAGGTTGCGTGTAGTAATATCCATCTCCATAGTTCGTGGAATGCTTCTCCCCTTTGAACACATCCAAAATGGGGCCGTCAAAGTGGAGTTTACCGAGGTATCGTATGTCGCAGTTTATCTGGTCTGGGGCTGTTTCCAGGGAGTGGCAAGATACGCGGGCATCAATATGCACATAGTCAGGGTGGACAGTCATCCAGTCGCTGCCAGCTCGAACTTCAAGGTTGATCGACCCATCGGCCGACTTCAATGACCCCCGAAACACTGTGTTGGCTTTAATCAGACGTTGGAAACCACCAAAAGAGTTGCATCATGCATCATTAGAGGGGGAAGGGTGAGCTCAGGCGCAAGCAAGACGGGATGAGGTATCTCGCTTACCGTGAGCAACGCTAAGAGAAGAATGCTCGGTGGCGGTAGCGGAAAAACCAGGAGGGCCGATGACTGTGAGGTCGAACGCGTGGGTTAACTTGGGCACTGTATCGGTTGACATGATAGCAAATGTGTGCACCACGAAGGTCCAGCTTTTGTCCAGCCAAGGGGGGTTGGTGGCACAAATATCTCACAAGCGCTCGCAGCGCTGAGCCTCCACACAACCACCAGTTGCAATTCTATGGGGGCAGAGTGCACTGCTTGATGTGGATCTTCAAGGGAGCGCCATGCTAACCTGGGCGATCAAGGCCTCTTCCGAGCTACAATTGCCGCGGACCGTGAACGCCGGACAGAAGTTCGATGCCTTTCTAGCAGCGGGGAAGTATTTGTGCCGAAAAATGTGTTTCGCCGAGGCCACTTGCCCGTACATTCATGAGTAAAGTAATTTACTGAATATTCGGTATCTGTATTCAGATTAAAGTACGAAGTGAGGTAAGACGGAATGGGAAACGGTCGATTCACCCATAATAACGTTGAATCTCGAATATGCTTGCCGCTGCACAAAAGAGCACTCACAGAAATGTCCTGAGACCTGCAGTGGCAACGACTCCACTTACCTTCAGGTGGGTACGCCGTTTATTTCAAGGCATGAACCGCTTTTGTCTGCTCTCATAGGCTGCAGAAAATCCGAGCACTTCAAAACGTGAAACAGCTCTGGCAGAGGGGGCTCGGTATGAAAAGGGGAGTGTAATTGGTAGGACAATGGAGCGTCAAGTACAACACCGCCGATACAGGCTCATCCATATTACTGGCATAGCGCTGGTATGAGAGACACATAACTCTCTCATGCTTTGACCTCTGTAAGGAATAAGCATATACTTATAGGACTAATTACCCATAACACTATTGTCTTGTTGAACTAGGAATTCTTCATTCATTGAATGAATTAGTCTTTCTATCTGCGTTCTCTCTAAGAGCGTTTCTCCTTGTTTATACGTGATATCTCCTTTGAACAGAAGAGGCCGAGACGGATCTTGGGCGGGTGCCTTTTTGTTCTGTTTTGCTGTCTCCTGGGCATACATTTATCCCAGTCGAGACTGGGACCAGGGCATCCTGGTGGTTAAGACATTCTCTCCTGCTCTTAGTCTGGAGTTCAATTGTCACGTCTCATGACTGCATTGCCCCCATCTTCTCTAACTTGTAGTCCTCTAGCTGAGTGGTCAGCTTTTCCGTTCCAGCAAATTGGTGCACCTCGCGTTGCCTTGAAACCTGACCGACGTCACCTCTTTGAGCCGCCACTTTCCGCCCAGTGACAAGAGTCAATATTTCTTCTGCTTTCTTGGTGTTGGGAGTCGCATCACCACGCCACGCTACGTGCCCGTCTGGTCGGACCAGTACAAAGGACTTTTGCCAGACAATGCGAGCGTTCTCTTCATCTCGAAGAACCACGTGTTTCACGGGCACGTTCATAACCTCTGCGGCTGCCAGAAGAGTGCTCGAGTCTCCCCTGTCTTTGATGTTTGAATGACTGAATTCGAAAAGTGTCCAATATTTTCCGTATAGATCGAATATGGAGGTCCCGTCGCGGAGAAAGACATGGGGTGCCCGCGAACCGATAAATGTGCTGGGGACGTACCGCTCTGGACTCCACTCTGGTTCGACTTCGTCGGCCTCGTCTCTGCATGGATACACACACGACTGATGTCGAACGTCCATCTCAATACCCCAGTCTGTATTCTCGCCCTTGTTCATTTGGTAATGGTCAGATATCTTCTTCCTGATTTCGCGACCTCTGTCGGAGTCCTCAAGCACTTCTCTAGGCTTGGGCCCTAGCAGGTGAGAAAGAGCGAGGTGTGTTTCCATATGGATTCCGGATCTTTGTATGCTTCTCAAGGCTACTGGACGCCGTTCTTCTTCATAGGAGTCGAGGAGAGCTGGTCCTGCTTGGCCATTTATGACCGCAGCCAATTTCCAACCAATGTCAAAAGCATCGCCAACACCCTGGTGAGGAAGTTAGGTTCCAGTCACGACGGAGTTTACTCAACTATGATATAACTCACCATGTTCATACCATAACCGCCCATAGGGATATTCTGATGTGCTGCATCTCCAGCAAGGAAGACTTTGCCTTTCTGGCTGCGATACTGCCTCGCGATTGCGATACTGTGTCGATAAGTCGAACTGACAAGTATCTCATCAATTTTGAACTCGTAGGAGTCTCCCATACCAGCAAGTGCTCTATATGCAGCCTCGTGTGCACCAATTTTGGCATGGTCCGCGTCCAGTGGTAACATTAAATGCGTTGTAAAGATGTACTCATCATCTTGGCAGATCGCTGCACCACTTAAACCCTCTTCACCGTAGATGAAGAGGTGCCAAAATCGGCCGTACTTTTGCAACTTCTTGAGGTCCTGTGATCGGAAGTGGACTAAGAGCACGTATCCAGGACTTGGTAGAGTCAGTCGGAAAGCCCATTCAGCCGCGGTCGAGAATCAAACCTACACTGGCCCTCCGTCAAGAGCGATACCCATGTCTCGTCGGACACGACTCGATGCCCCATCACATCCAACTAGGTATTTTGTGAAAATCCTAACCTTCCTGCCACTTTTGACATGAACAGCGTCGACGTAGGCACCGTCCTCTGTCTCCGCCGCCTTTTCGACTTTCCAACCGAATCGGCAATCCACAAGGGCGTTTTTGTCGCAGCGCTGCTTCAGGTAGCTTTCAAATATGGCTTGCGAAATCCTTTGCCACGGCTCTTGAGGCATACTGCCATCATTTCGTTCTTTGTATTGTGCCCTCAACTCCACGTTGGAGGGAAATTCCCAAGACGTTGTTGGTGCTGATTCACCCAGTCCGGGGGTGAAGTACACGTTGTAGGGCGTTGTCTGGGGTACACCTTGTAATCCGGAACATCGTCAGTCTTTTTACGAGCAGCAGGAGAATTGGTCATTCATACCAAGCATTCGGACATCGTCGGAGATTCCAAGCCGCCTTAACAACTCCATCGATCGCACGTTGGTAAGATCCATTTTGGGCCATCTACACCATGATCAGTATAATTTGGAACCCGATCCGTGAGAGCTGACTTTGTGGTTGTCTCATTCCGTTCCAGCACAATGCTTTTCAAGCCATAATGCGCTATGACAGTTGCCACCAGAAGACCAACAGGCCCTCCTCCAACGATCAAGATAGTCCTGTTGTCAAGTCTTTCCACAACTTCTTGTCCGTCGACGTAAGCATGGCTCGGGTCTAAACCCTGGGTGTTCTTCATGTCGGTCTGAGCCGTCTAGAATGAACCTAGCTGAGATGTCAATGATTTTGAGGTTCTACGCGAGACAAGAGGCATATGATTGACTAGGATGAAAGTTAACTACCAGTGGGCGCACATTCTCCGATTTGGGCAAACGTCAGTAGGCATAAAGAATCAGTCATGAGAGTCTCCAGGTTTTCGGGCCGGTCGATTTTGGATATCTTCTAAAGGGCCGAGAATTCGAGCGAGATATCCACCTGCCGGAATCGAGGCAAGCTCCTCTACAACTTTGGTCATCTCTAATAGCACATCTATAGGATAAACCCAACATCTGGCTCATAAATTAACGTTAGAGTGCTTTTGCCTATTATGCTGCGCGGAGTGATATAGCAATTTTGAGCTTAAGGTCACGCAAACAGAGATGTCTCTGGCAAATACCATCTGGTCGTCCGATATCCCAGTGCCAACTGCGCTGAGAGACTGGCTTGAGCAACTTTTCACAACGGTTGACTCGAAGAGCTCGGATTCTGGAGAACTTTTAGCTGCACTGTATACTCCTAACGCCACTGTCTTTGGTTTGCATGGAAATGCCGAAGGATCTGAAGGTCAGAAGCTTTTTACGTCAAAAGCCATCGTCCAGCGGACTAATACTTCGGCTTAAAGCCATCAAACAGAGTCGTAAGACAGCTTGGGACACTATCAGTTCCCGTAAGCACGAGGTGTTGCAGGTCTATCCGGGGCAGAAGGACTATAGTGATCTCATGCTAATCGGTCGGCTCACTGCGGGACTGAAGAATGAGGTGGTGACAGAATTCATCGCGCAAATCCATTTTCAAGGAGATACATCGAAGGATCCAAAGGGTACCCTGTACAAGGTCTGGGGAGTAAGTAAATAATTCTCTCTCTCATGAATGGAATACCTCAGAGGAATACTAATAGCATTGGAAGGATAGTGCACCTTGGATAAAAGCAATGCAGACCTGAACAAACTTTAAGCGTATTGATCGGGGCCAAGAATTGGAACGTAGAGCAACTTCAAACACCATCACTTAGTGAAGGGGGGTTTTGAGTGTCGAGATCTCTATGGCCAATACTTCACGTTGCGATGTTGCTTCCATTGAACTGATCGCATAAGTGGATTATGAACGTTAGAAGTGTACCTCTTAGATCTTTTTTTCGCTGCCGAGCTCCTCTCTGGTCTTGTTGTCCTCATTTTTCATCATTATATGTTCTCCGGCGTCTTGGCTGCAACTAAAATCGGCTTTTTGAGTGGCGATGTTGGCGGGAAATGAGACGTGTTCCTGGATCCATTTCCAGACACCATCCCTCTTCCGCAGAAGACCAGTATAGCGGAATTTGAAGTTAAAGTCATATCCGTCAGTGCTTACACCATAGTAATGCTGAAAAGATGTATCAGCAAGAGCATCCACAGACTAAGGCCGATTGGACCAACCTGTTCCATATTGCAGAAACCAAAGTCTGGAGCGGTCGCAATGATTTCCATATCTTTATATCCAATGTGAGACTTCGCAAAGTATGCTAAAATGGGATTCAACACATCAAAACTTGTCCTCGCCCTCCTTGAGAGTAATAATGAAGTTACTCACGGCCGATATGGTAAAAATGGTCCACGAAGGCCCCGCCTTAGACAGTCATCAGCACGACTAAAGCAATAGTTAGAAAACCTGTAAGAAAACGTACGTGGAATGAGGCCCATCAAGTCATAGTACAAGACTTGCTCGCCATCGTAGAATCCGGCACCTTCCTCCGGATTTGTCGCAAACCTATTGTCATTGAACTCCATCCAGTTTCGATAATGCTCAAAGATTTCTTCCTCTTCCTTCTTGAGTTCGGGTTTGTGATAGGCACTAATGGGAAAAGGTAATGTCGAGTGCATATTATCGAGGGTTGTTAAATCACCCTTTATAGGCGCAAAGCCGCAAGATTAGCTCACGATCTTGTACCGAACATACTTCGTACCAAATAATGCCACTCCGAGCGGCCCTTCTTGCTTTGCACGGGCTCAGACATTTCTGCGCGTGCTGCTGAGAGCGACGATGATAGCAATTACCCAGTAGTGTTCCGAGCTAGAGTCTTGGTGTTTGTTGTTTGTAGATGCCAAAACCACTGCGTTGTTTTAAGTAAAGGCATGATATTTAGTTTCGGGTCTCGGAGAAAGCCCCGTGCGAGAGTCCCGGGGAAAAGCGCTAATGATGTAGTGACCCTTAACAGGCAGGACCATACTGCTCCGCTCGGATGATAAACAGCGGTACTGTTGGCCCAGCGGCTGGTTCATAATCCGAGCCCGAGACTGATTCAACAGGTTATGGAAGGACATTTGAAAAATATTCCTGGGAATTAAAATCGCTTTGACCACGTGCTTGGACACAGGATCGCGAACGACGTCTCGTCACGATATTGGCAAATGCCTGAAAGTGCCAGTCAGGCGGGATAAGCCAGAGATTCAACAAATTTGCCCCTATTAGTGCTGTTTTTGTTTCTCCCAGGGTTCTTCGCGACATCAGTAGCCTGAGACTGACCACCAAGGTCAATGGTGAACAGATGTAGACAGGCTTGCTCAACGACCTGATCTTTGGTATGGGCAAATTGGTGAAGCAGTTGAGCTGAGTAATGACTTTAAGGAAGTTCGCAGTCATCTTGACAGAGCTCCCAGTGGACGTCAGTGCCTTGATGAAGCCACCGGCACGACTCAAAGACGGTGACATCGTGACAATTGATATTGCAGGAATTGAGACAATCAGCAACAGACTGAAGTTGCTTTGAGACGATCTTATTCTACAGAGATGCAAAATGTTGGGGGGCGGCCTACTATGACCCGTATCATCAGCCTGGACTCAGATATCTATAAGAACCTAAGAACTGAACTGCAAATGTCTACAGTACAGAGGTTTACCAAGCCAATGCAACTACACTCAATGTCGCTCTAGAGTGGTCTCGATGCAGCCTAAAATCGCACACTTCCTCGAAAAACGGCCGATATTGCCTTGCTTTCGCTTCACGACCCAGATCAGTGCCGCATTAATGGCCATAATGGTGAACGCAGATAACGCAGGCCTTCGCAAAATCCCCCCAGTACCACCAAGTAACCCGATCCTACTTGCAGAGCAAATGCCGAGGTCTTGTGCCTACTAGGGCAAGTTTCCGGAATCCGAAGCCCCTTCTTCCCTTGGATATGTTACTAGCCCAATCAGGCAGAGTCTCTCGATATGGAGGCTTACCGCCTTTAACCCGACATTGTTATTTCCATCCCTGCTGACAATGAAGTATAGTGGACGGAAATCTTACACACAAAAACGCACAGTTTGTCCCTTTCCAATTGTGACCCGCGGTCACCGCTGTCAAGGTGTCTGTACAACCAATCTTTTCAAGCCGGGAAAAGCCAGCCGCTCCGGCCAGACATTTAAACACAGCCGAAATAAGGATAAGTACCAGATATTGCGGCTCGAGCTCGTTTTGTAGCCTTGAATAGACTCTGCGGCTGATGTCCACTGGCTATTACAAGGAGAACCGTCAGGTCTAGAAACTCAACTTCATCGAAAATGGGCAGGTTCGAAGGAAAAGTTGCTTTCGTCACCGACGGTGCATTTAGCATGGGCCTTGCCGCCGTGGAACTGCTGGCCCAAGAAAGCGCAAAAGTTGCATTGGCGGATATCCAATGGGAGCTTGTACAGAAGAATGCAAAGTCGCTAAGTGATTGTGTCCTCCCATTTCACTTGAACCAGGGAGATGCAACATCCGCCAACGAAGCAATAATGTTTGCAGAAGAGAATTTCGGCAGCCTTGATTTGGCAGCGAACGCAGCTGGAATCGAGGGCCGTTTGGGATAACTCAAAGACCAGGAGCCTCAGGACTTCCAGAATGTTATCGCGGCAAATTTGACTGGGATTGCATATTGTCCAAAGCACGAAATTAGCGGCCGTGAAGAAGTGAAGAGGAGGCGCGATCGTCAACATCTCCTGCAATTGTGGGCGACAAGACACGCCTTATCTGGGCATCTATTCAGCGTCGAAAGTAGGGTGCATCAGTCTGACCTCGGTCGCAGCTGTGGAGGCTGGACCTTACTTGAGAATATCGAGTACAACCGCAAGCTGACTTACAAAATCTGCGAAACATGGTCCGTTCCCAAGACGGAGATGTTGACCCTTTCTTCGACCTATTCTATGACGAGGCCAGCTTTACCATCATGGTGCAGAAAGACATGCTACCGTGTCTTGCTGGGACGCTTGACAAAAGAAGTTCCGTGCGCGGATGTACGAGTCTCTGATCACAGCTCTGTCAATGAAAGTTGAAGGCATTGCTGCCGACAAAAAGCGACTGGCACTCGAAGCGAGTTCAGACGTGAGAGCCAATGGCAACTCGTATCATAACTACTACCTTTGGCTCTTCGAGATTAAAGACGGCAAAATATCTGCGGCAAGGTTCTACCTCGACACGCTATTCGCAAAGAATGCAATTGACTGGATGGAAGAATTGGCGACAGGAGGAAACAAGTGATGAATCTCCCATTTGATTTGTCTTGGTCTAATGGGGGGGGGCTAAGGGATGTTATAGTCGTGAAAAGAACTCGGGAACCATTTGTATTGTAACAAAGAACTTCAGGGTTCGGCATGCGCGTGGAACAACGCACTGAAGCCTGTCCAGCAGGTCGGGAATTGAGAACGCGTTTCTGGTTGGCGTTGATAAGACAACACCACCCCCAACACCACCCAGAGATGCAGTGGCTAGGGCAATGAACGTCTAGCACGGCAGCGGCATTGAACAGCTGGGACAGGACCGATGAAACACTCAGGAATAAGTAGACGGCATCGAAAACATGGAATACTCTGTCAAACTGTAAAGAATGGCACTCTGCGAGCACTGTGAACTGCTCAGCACTCCCCCTTAACCCATTTTGGTTTGGCATATGACTAGACAACTCTCCTTCCTGCCTCCCCCTATACCGTCCCAGCACAGCCACCTAGCCTTGTTACAGTATACGACAAGCAAAAGGGCTAGAATGGGACACAGGCAACCCTGCTGTTGTAGACGTCACAGCTAGAGATCTCCATTTGATATGGATATCTATTTCTCTCACAGATATTTCGAGTAGTGGCACACGAGCTGCTGGCTCATTTGGCGACAACTCGAATGTCGTTCATACCAAGCTCCATGACACGGGGAGCGAAATCGAGTTGAATCATCAAGTATCGTATGTCGTTGCTCAACCCCAACTGCAGGTCCAGAATCTTGCGTATCAACGCGAGAAGAATCCGAAGCGTATTATAGCGAGCGCAGAACTGCATCCAATCTAGGTCAATCTCACGACCTCCGCCCTTGTTGTAGTGTTCCACAAAGTGGTCCCACTCCATGTGGCGAGATACATGCGAATGAAAATACGCCAAGTCCTACTCGGGAGCCCCAAACTCTGCACATTCCCAATCGAGAACGCCAGTAACGTTGCCATCGTCCCCTATGAGAACGTTGTGGAAGTTGAAGTCCCCATGGCAGAGAACAGGGCTGTCAGTGCATTCGGGGATATTGTTCTCAAGCCATCGGAAGAGCCAGGTCACATATGGCGACGGCAAATGCTCAACTTTTCGGGTATATTCTCGCAACTCTTTCAGTTTGCGACGATAACACTGTTCCACTGTCTCGTTCAGGACAAGCTCCACTCCGCAATCTTTGATAAAGTCCCGATAGCTTTCCAAAGGTGTGTTATGAAGCTTGGCTAGCACACGAGCGAGCCGCAACAATACTTCTGTTTGCAGGGTTACGCGTTCAAAATAGCTTCCTAGAATACGACCAGGTAGCCGCTCCATAGTGTAGAACGTATCATCTAGGCCTCCTGGTAATACTGCCAGATCGACAGGGCGCGGACATAGAAATCCTGCTGCCTGGAGGCAACGCAGGAGAGTGAATTCGAGGGGCAATTCGAGAAAAGGGGCGACCACAGTTGGATTGCTCTTGCGTACGACAAGTTTCTCAGAGAGTCCATTCTCATGCTGCACCGTGCAGAAAAAGACTTCGTTGGAGTACCCGCCCGCTACCGCCGCGAACTCTGTAATTTTCACACCCTCTTGACGCTGATCGCGAAGAAAAGCCTGTAGATACTCTTTGCTCAACTTCTGCGGCTGATTTTTTCTCTCGACTTTTTGATCACCGCGATTGAATTTGTTGACTGGCTCGACCTCTGAATTTTGTGTTGCTAACATGTAGTCCACCTCCCACTCTGCGGCCGTCCTCATTAGCGACTCGACTTGGGGATCAGTCCTTGGAGAAAGCCGGGCCAGCAAGAGGTCTAGATCCCGCGACAATCGGCCATGGATCTCGGCAAGGTTATCAAAGCCAGCAGCAGAGTCAATGGGGCCAGGATCTCCTGGGGGTTCAATGTCACCCAGCGCCTCTGCAATTTGCGAGTAGAGTTGTCTTCCAGTGTTGATTGTCTTGATAAGCTGGTCAGTAGCGGGTCCTTCTCGTTTGAGCACTTCAGTCAAAGCCATGTGGACAAGACTGAGGCTCTCCATAGCCTTCGGAGAACTGATTTCTGGCAGAACATCTTCGTTGAGAGCTTGTAACGCCAAGCTCACATATCGAGCCGTGGAATTAATCTTCATTTTAGCGTCGTGTTTGTGCTTGTAAACTCAAGGCTAATAATGTTGGTTGCATTGACTTTGGCAAAGTTCTGTAGGGTGATATAAATATTCGGGCCTCCTGAGTCCGGGCAAAGGTCACACGACAGAGGCCAAGATAGTGCTGGTGAGTGCTGCAAGGGCCGACAGATCCAGGTCTGCAAAGTTTGTATTTCAGCACCTAGTGGCAGCAATAAAAAATCTTGCCAAGAGCCGGGGCCCGATTCGCCATGGGATGATGATTGCCCGAGCACATCTAAGCGGAATGTCTGAGTGTAGTACAGTGATGGGTGCTTAGCTACATATTCTAAATGATGCAGTCTTCTCGGATGAGGATTTCGGCGGGAAGACACATGAGCGAAGGCATTATAAGGGCAATCTCTCATATAATATGACAAATATTTCACGCCAGTGTCACCCTCCAGAGCCCTGTCTTCTCCAGCATGGCCGCATCAGTCTGTCAAACTCGGAAGTTGAAAAAGTCATTTCTCTCGATGAAATGGTTGCGATGGATGCGGTGTCTCAAGCACATGGCAAATTCTTCTGTTAGGAGGCAGAGAATGCCCTGTGAGCCAATGTTATTCGCTCTGTCCATCAATTCACCGGTTTGCCCCTGCTGAACCGCTGGAACTTCGCATACCATGCTTCTTGGTAGGCACAATACGCCAGTCTTCCTGCCTCGTCCTTCCACCTATAGACGGCATCGACGAATATGTTGTTCGCCCATGAAGGGAGATGTGCCATTGCGATAGCTTCGCCCCAATAGCGGTAAACTTTCCCCTCGCTATCCTCAGCCTCAATCTCTTGTTCGATAGCAGCGAACAATTTTGGATGGAACTTCGTAACTTTTCGCTTGATCTTAACAATGTTACGTATAGATCCGTTGTCGTTCACCATCCACGCAAAGTAGAATGATGGCTTCTTCTGATCCACGGTAAACACGTCCTTCCATCGAGGGTTTGTTTCAGGCGCTTCGTAACCTATTTGGCAAAACGAAAAATTGCCATCGAAGCACATCGGTGACCAGCCCACTGGAGGATAATCGACCTCCTCCTCTGTGCGGATCTGTCTCCAAGACCTGTCTCGCACAGGGTAACAGTCAACGTCGTAGTCTGTCCCGTTCAGAGTCAACTTCCCTATGCAGTGCATGAACTGTTCGCTGCCGCCTGGTTTCTTGTCTGCCTCGGCGTCTCTATCTTCTCCAGGCATGACGTGGCCTCGAGGCAGGAGAGGGGTTACTGCGGTTTGGATGACGTCGAACTGCGTCTTGCCATCTTTGCTCTTGTAAGATAGCCGAAATTCCTCTCCCGGTTTGAGAACCTCCATTCTGAGACCCAGGTAGGTCGTGAGAATATTATCCTTAAAGCTCGACCAAGGCATTGTGTTCATAAAGTTCAGATGCTCGATATCCAATGGTTTCTCGTTGTCTAGGCCTTGGAAAAGGCCAACACCCCCGGCGCATAGCGGGAAAGCTGGCTGATAACGGAAGTAGACAAAGGCACCTATGGCTGCCTCTGGCACGCTGAATCCGAAATAATGAGTGTGGACAGTGTGTGGATGCCAGGTTTCCTCTTTTGAGGGCAATGGTAGCCACAGATCTGATTCTGGCGGTGGCAGATTCGACATCTTGCTGCGTTTCGAAAGTATCGAGGCCTCCCAAATAGATGTCTGTAATCAACAAGTCCTCTCATCGCAACCGCAATCGGATGCGGGCCTTATCTGTTAGTGGAAGCTCTATCATCGCCGAACACTGAATACAATCTCGTGATGAGTAATAACCAGAAGGTAACCCATCGTTCCATCACGATCAAGCAAATCGGGACGATAGCAGGAGCGCCTGCGAGCACCAAGTAGAAAGACCGAACTCATTCTATTCATTAGTACTAGCTCTTCTAGTGGCATTGCCAGGCCGTGATTGTGGCATGCTGGCTCGCCGGATGGAATAGGCTTAGCCGAATCCCTATCGTTCTGACGACCTTCCCGCAATGCAAGACCACCCACATTCATTGCAGAAGGGCACAAGATAAAATGTGGGTGTCAAGATCACCTGAACTTCAACATCATGTAGCTAAGCTCATCGGGGTCGTTCTAAATACCAATTCAAAGTAATTTATTTCTTTCACGTAGCATCTGTAGAAAAAGGTTGCCGACTGTGAAGCCACTAGTTATTTGATCAAGAGGCTCAAAACGGCAAAATTGCTGACGGATCTGGTTAGATCTGGATTAAACGGCTTCGGTCAGGAGAGACCTTGAGTTTGGTGATCATTGACTAGTAAAACCTCTCCATCTGAGTTTAGCCATTGAATGAGACGACACCGGAGAGCGCGTTTAACACCTACCCATCCACAACCAAACTGGCTCCAGATATATAGCTACTCATCGGAGACACCAGGAATGAAATAGCCTCGGCTATCTCTGAAGGCTCCGCAAATCGCCCCATCGGAATCTTCTTCAACTCATCCTGCATGACGCCTTGTTGAACGGCAGCCTTGAGGGCAGGAGTGTTTACAAACCTTTCAAATTTCATCATCTAAAATTAGCTGCTATTCGAATAATTCAAAGAGCGTGCAGCTGGCATACCCAGGGCAGATGGCGTTGACGCGTATACCATCTTTCGCATAGGAGTTTGCGTCCTAGGATGTGTCAGTCGAGTGAAGCGTACGAGATTGGACAACAACTTACCATTTTCGTCATACCCAACACTCCATGCTTACTAAGTATTATGAACACAAGGACGAGGTAAGCGAATGCCCATCGCCCTCTGATGCATAAATCGTAGAAGGGGTAAGAGAAGTAGCTAAGGATTACTGACTCACCAGGCGATATAAGGCGGAGCTGGTGTTGTCCCAGATGGGGCAACATGTCCATAAGTGGAGGATAAATTCACAATCACACCTCGGCTTCGGGTTTCAGGGCTACAGGAGAGCTTCAGAGTCTGTAGAGCAATTCAAGGACCAGTTATTACCTTTGCCCTCGTGGTTCCTGCCGTAGCATTTGCCTGATCTCCTCTCTCTGTGCTATCCAGAGACCAATAAGATCGAGATCGACAACTTTGCGATAGTCCTCCACGCTCATCTCAGATGTGGCACAAATTGGTCCGCCGATTCCGACGTTGTTCACGGCAATGTTGATCTGCCCAAATGTTTCGGTGACTTTTTGGACGGCGTCCACAATCGCCTTCTCGTTGGAGAGGTCAGCCTGTAATTCAAGCACTTCTACCTTGTTGTTTAGTTCCAAAATCAGCTTTCTAGTTGCTGCCATACCGGCAGTGTCGATATCCAAGAGCGCGAGTTGTTTGATACCATGACGAACAAACGCGAGGCTTGTTGCTCTTCCGATACCTTCGATTTCGGAAGTCAGCAATTTTCGCGCGCCTCATGAATGAGCATACCTGAGCCTGCTCCAGATACTAGGGCAACGCCCTCTAAAAGGTCTGACATGATATACAGGAGTTGGTTTAAGTATTACAGATATAAAACGTCGTCTTACTTTTCTCAAGACGACTTGTTCAAATTTGAACTTGGCATCTGTTTGCCGTGACTACACGGCAAACGAATTTCTAAAGGGTGGAGATTGCCGAGTACTCAAAGGCTGGACCCCCGGATTATTACGAAAGTTCGGCCCCTAATCCGCTAGGCTTCGGAGAACACTCAGTAATGATCTCCGGCACAAGACGGTCACCTTGCCAATATCTCCAGGTTCGTCGTAACCATGTTAAACCTTAAGAATCTCCATAGCATTTTGACGTTATTTTGTCTACCGAGGAAAGTCGCCCGCGGCCACTGTCAATCAAGTGCCAGCCGCAAACACTTATCTCCTGTGTAACCAAAGTCGATAACACAAAAGAAGAGATTCCATATTCTAGTCTAACCCAAAAGTTTTCAGGCCAATCCTACATATCAGACCAACATGGCACGGACTGTGATTCGGGTTGAGGAAGACATGTTGGACCACCCAGTGGAACAGGTCTGGAGCCTAGTCTCCAGCTTCGGTGCGATACAAGCCTGGATGCCGTCTATCAAATGGTGCACAATCACCGGTCAGGGTGTCGGAACTATTCGCACTGTAATGTCCGTGGCTGGAGTGCAAGAAGAGATCCTTGAGGTACTCGACAATGACGCTCACTGCATTTCCTATCGCATAAAGGACAGCCCAGCCCTTCCCATGAAGGGCGGCTTTGGCAACTGGAAACTGGAAAGCATCGGAGGAGGAAAAACAAAGATTACTTGGATTGCAGATGCAGAAGAGATCAACACTGACGGAGTGGCCGCAATAGCCCCGATTTACGAAGGTTTCATGAAGGAAAGCATAGCTGGCTTGAAGAAAGCACTCAGTTAGACGGCAGCGGGGAACTATACTCTGTATATCAGCTTCAATGCCTAAGGCAGGTCTTTGCTGGACCAAGTCTAAGCACTTCCTCATAGTGAAAAGGGGACAGTTCTCAACATTATGGACCGTGTTGTCAGCTTCATGCAACATCCATTGTTACTCCACCTCGAGGAACTGTGCAACCCTTGAAATAGATGTCACTACGGATTCATTTGTATGGAAGTCAGGAAATTCTCCTCGCAGAAGACTATTAATTCAGTGAAGTTGACTCTGCGATCTTATCACTGAATGATAACCTCTTTTATGAGTTAGCTCTTGAGTATCTGGAAACGCCCCTCCTGCTGAGGGATATATATCCCTATACACACACAGTCTTTCTCCAAGATGATGCACTGGGTACGCGTAGCAACCGGCCCACCATGCCCAGTTCGATTCCTCATATGAAATGCCAGATTAACTTGTGTTATCTTCCCCTAGTGCTTTATGACTCTCAACCTGATATAGTGGTTTCTTTGCTGCGATGGCCCACATGTTGCAGCTTACGAGCGACATCAGGCGTCATGCGCTCTGCCAACTTTTTTGAGTCGAGCAGCAAGGCTGCGACTGTTGCGCAACATCCAAAAGCAATACTCACCAAGTAGATAAGTTGAAATGCGTTCTCGTATGAGCGAAGTGCAGTGGTGATAGCTGCTTCTATAACTGCTGGCGTCACGCCGGAGATTTTCTCGAGCGCAGGAAGATTACCACCCGAAAGGGCTGTTAGAAAACCAACGACAGACGTTGGCGGGAGACCTGCTTCCAGAATGGCTGGAACAACCCATTTTTTGACATTAGACGCCACTCTATTTTGTAGCTACAATCTGTCAGCTTCATAGGCTCTCACGGGATTCTCAACTCCGATACTCACAATTGTCACAAAGACTGAATCTATTTGTAGTCTCCGTCAGCTATGCCAGTCGTGATCAAAATAGCTCACAAAGTTGAAACTTACCTGCAAGGACCGAACAACTACTTCTCAAAGTATATTCAACTCCATTGGCTAAGCCAATATCCTCGGGCTTAACCATAAGAGGGGCGCCAGCTAGAGTAAGCACCTCCATGTATCCAATCATGATGCTAGAGATTAAGCTGAATACGATGGCCCGGCCCTGGTTCTCCTTCGTAACAGCACCCATACCGCCAGTAAATGTTGTAAACAACACACAGACGATGACTAGCTGCCATTTCAAGGATACCCACTTTTGGGTCCATTTCGAAAGAGATCCAACAAACTGGCCGAATATGGCCCCCGCCGTTAAAGTACACTTCTCAGTCGTCAGCTCCAGTACGTGGCCCATGTGTAGAAGTTTACTTACACTCATCCAGCCGGTGGTTTGAACGGACTTCCCATAGACGGCGGAAATTTGTTGCGGATATACAATATTTAGCGCGTAAAATATCATGGATCCAACACTGGCGACGACCGACAAAGCCACATAGTTCCTGTTTCGGAATAGGTAGAGGGGCATCAAAGGTTCTTTCAATGGAGCGAATCGTTCTGATCAATCGTCAGGCAACCTCTCCGTACCAAAGAACGAAGACAAAACATGGACCTACCGAACAATACAAAGATGATAAGGCCAATTCCTCCCACGACGATACTCGAGAGTACCTCACCAGAATTCCACGCTGGTTGAAACGTGTCAATATGATTCGCAGAATGCACAGGTTGTCGAACTTACGATATTTCTGCCCACCCCACGAGATCCCGAGGATAATCGACGTCACACTGCCAGTAAATATTATAACGCCTCCAAAATCAAGGTTTATCACAGTCGTGCGTTTTGATAAAGTAGTGTGTAGCTGGTGGAAATTTGGCGGGAAGTAGAAAAACAGCTGCAGTAGGCCGGCTATGCCAGACATCATGGCACTAAAATAGTACACCCAGCGCCACGAGGCATTGTCCACCATCACTCGGGCTGGAAGATAACGCCGTTAACCCATGTGCCGCAACCCGTGAGCGATTTTACATACCTAAGCCTGGCCCAATGGTAGCGAGCGGAGCCAGTAGTGCGAATGTGAGCCCGAGTGCCGTATTCCTATTCTGATTTGATACCATCTCACCAAAGATAACAGGCATAGTCTGCTGGATACCTGTTCCAATACCTGCTATCGCGCTCTGAAAAAAGAAGAGATTCACGATCAGCAAATTGAATTCCCACACACGAGACGCACAAACTTACACCCGCAATCAAAGTATCAATCTTCTTAGCTCGACCATTGACGATATACCCGATGAAAGCGAGAGCATTAGCTCCAATGAAAATCCAGCGACGACCAAATATGTCCCCAAATCGGCCAGCTAGAGTGAAAGTCACCGTCTGGCATAGAACAAAGACAAGAAGGATCCATATGTAACCGGGAGTCGGCCCTGCGTCGGTAAAGAACGTTAATTATTACATGTGCATCTCGGAGATCTCTTAGGGTCTGATACCTAGATCTTCATTAATAATGGTAATAACATTTGCCGCCATGACATAGCCAAGAAATGCTCCTTGGAACGAGATGGCCATCGACTGTAGTAGGGAGTCAGCTAGCACTGTGTGGTACTGTGAAGGGCCGGGCTAGAGGCAACGTACGAGGAAAGACCCAATAAATTGCGGGCTTCTGTAGTAATTTTTGGGTAGATTGTCTCCGCGTGCTGTAGGTGACACTCCGTCCATGAACTCTTCGACTTCAATGTGTTCATGGGTATTCTGCACGTCATCCTTCTCAATTGTATCCATCGTGTCTGCCAAACCTGTAGCTTTCTCTAGTTTTTGCTATACGGTTCAAGGTCTGACTTTGGCCGGGTAAGGTGAGCATATCGTGTAATGTAGATATCAGTGAGACGAGCGTGAAATTTCAATCAAGCAGCTCGCCTCAGTGCCATCCCAAAGTGGTCGGGGCTCAGTTTTCACACGCCGTGAGTGGCTGCAAATGACCCCAGTGTCCCGAAGTTTGCAGCATATGTTCCGGGGTACGTTCGATTAGGAAGACACAGCAAGTCCCGGGAATTTTTGACGGAGTTTTGTTTGATCAAGACTCGAGATTGGAACTCTGGGTTCCAATTATCCGTGTTTAATTTGCGTCAATATGGTCCTCTTGGAATTACTAAGTCTATTCCAGAAGCGTATGGGTTGTAGGTGTTAGTACTGAACTATCATGGTTCTCATAGGTACCTACGTAGGCGGTGCTGGATACCAAATCAAGATCGGTCAACATAATCTGTTAGTCCAGCACCCTTTCGAATTTCAATCATCTTTTCTTCCAGACAGGAGATTGGCATGGTGGGAACAACTCTAAATTGGTAGATCCTGTCTCCAGATTAGAAAATGTTGACTGAGCGCCTCAAGGCTGCCGCTTCCAGTCTGGATCCTCACTCCACCAGTTGCCTACTTCTACGGAAGAAGATGTGCGAGCGATATGCTAGCCATCGTTGTGTGAATAGAACATGGAAGCTGAATCGCCCATCCAAAGTGTCCTGCTGTTGTGCAATAGCTCTGGGACACAGTCAGAACAACTGTGACCATTGGGATTTCTTCAGTCAAGGCGCGGGAATCGACATTCGTGTCCGGGTCTCAGCTACTCCGAAAACCTTATTCGGCCTGCTCGGCACAAAAGGGTCTCCGCAGCTCTGACCAGATGAAGTTAGTTGTTTACAGAACCGGCCTAATTAGGCTTAGGCGCCTTAGTCTTCGCATTGTGGTAACTTGTCTCTTGTTTAAACCCTCCTGTTACTCCAGATACTCCAGTAGATCTTTTCAATCAAACACCCTTTTCATTGCCCCAATCAATTCAACAGTCTCAATGCTCTATAACTGGTCTTTCTTCCAGGTGGCATTCTGCGAAGGAGGGAAACAGAATTTCTGACTACTTTTTTGTTTGGAAATGTAGATGCTGTGCCTCGGCGAACTGAATTATTCAAAGTCGAGCAAAATTCCATACGACATCGAAAATGGCCGAGACAACTCGAGGTCTCTCATTCGAGAACCGAACAGTCATCGTTACTGGTGCTGGTGGCAGCATAGGCAGGCCACTCTGCCTCGCTTTTGCTAAAGCCGGTGCTAACGTGATCGCTAACGATTACGGCTGTTCTGCAGCAGGGCAAGGCTCGTCAGGAGCTTCGGCGGAGCAGTTAGTAGCTGAAATTGCCGCACAAGGACTATCGGCTGTGGCGGATACACACAACGTTGCTACAGATGCTGATAAAATCGTTGACTTAGCAATTGAACGATTTCAACGTCTTGATATTATCGTCAATAATGCAGGGATTATCACATATGGCCCAGTAGAGGCCCAAGAACCTGGGGATATCAAACGAGTGCTTGAGGTCAATGCACTCGGCGCGATAGCGCTTTGTCATTACGCCTGGCCACATATGCAGAAGCAGAAATACGGGCGGATCATCAACTTTAGCTCCGACTCCGTCTTTGGAATGCCGTCCAGTGCTGGATATGTGCTGTCCCGCGGCGCCATGCTTGGGGTTACCAAGACGCTGGCTTTAGAGGGACAGCCACACAACATACTTGTGAATACAATTGGTCCTTCAGCCTATTCACGCATGGTTTCAGATGTGATCAAAGATCTACCACCGGATCAGCAGGAGGGGTTCAAGCGCGCCTTCACTGGTGAATCCAATATTCCGCCGCTTCTCGCTCTAGCAAGTGAAGAGAACACATATACGGGCCAGATCTGGACCTCCGGGAACTACGCTATGGGTCGCACAATCCTCGGAACTGTGAAGGAAGTTAAAAGACTTCGTACAGCGCGCGACTGTCTATCAGCGATGACTGAACTGATGGATAAGAACAGGGCATGGATAGAACCTCAAAGCATTCAGGAGTTTCTAAACTTCAGAGCTTGAGCTAGGTGACTGACATGTAGCGGTACAAATATGCACTCGTTATGCATTGATTGTCACATACTCGCCAACTCACTTCTTACCTCTTGTGCCAAGCCTCTCAAGAGTTGGCGTAGAAGTCGCCGAGATCACTTCCTGTATCCCGAGTTTCGCCTTCAGGCAGGCGGGAGTCTGTCTGGTAACGGGCTTAAGGCTTGAAAGAACACTTCCGAAATGCATCACCTAAGTAAAAGCCCCAAAAATGCGGAGTTTCGGATTTCGGAGTTGGACGGTTGTCACGGCTTTGTTGTTTCATTTCTGCAGCCCCCCTGGCAAATACCACTGGGGTTTTATTAGAGCTTATACCCATTGTTACCCACGATTTCAACTTGTGAAGTGATTGACTATTACTTCATAACGGATTTCACGCGCAATGGGGCTTTACTGGATCGTGTTCGCCCTTGTTGGCGTTATTTCAATTTTCAGAGTACTCCGGTATGGTAGGCGGCCTAAGGGGTATCCTCCTGGTACAGCTCTTGTCTGATACATAACGTGGCAAAGCTCTTATTGACTAGGATTGAAACCAGGCCCTCCTACCTTGCCAATTATTGGGAATCTTCATCTGTTCCCCCGGACCGGTGTTCTTCATGAGAAGTTCAAAGAATGGGCAGACCAATGTCAGGATCCGTTCAGTGCTCTCACCAAATATCACTACTTACGTGTCTAGATGGACCAATCGTTAGCCTTCAGCTTGGTACCCAAACACTGATCCTTTTGAATGATGAAATGGCGGTCAAGGAACTCTTGGACAAACGAAGTCAAAATACGTCGGCGAGGATGGATATGTTCCTGAGTGAGTTCGGAGGCCATAACCAGATTTTGATGCGCAGGTAAGCTTCCCTTGCGAACCCGTCAGCCTCTTAGTTAACACATACTTTAGCAACGATGAGACCTGGAGACGTCAGCGTAGAATGTATCACCAAAATCTCAACAGCCAACAAGCAGACATCTATGTCCCATATCAGGTAACGCACGTGTTGAACAATTTCAATAACGGCCTTCCACCCATGAGCTGACCTACGTGAGAACAGTCTTTTGAGACGACGCAGCTCCTACGAGACATTTTGCACAGCCCGGAGAAATTCGAAGACCACATCAAGCGCTACACAACTAGTGTTGGATATACAATTGCGTATGGGATGCGCGTAAGATCTATTGAAGAGAAAAAAGCAGCTAGAACATTGTTCGAGGTGAGGACAGAAAACATCGCTTGCTCTGCTGCCTCGTTAACTAATGAACACGGAAGTGGACAACAGGCCAGGTTCGAGCTGGGATGGGATTAGCTATTACCGACTGGTGGCCGTTCCTCCGCCCAGTATTCCGAATACTACCCAACTATGTTATACCTTTCTTGAAAGAGATTGAGAGATTGAACCGAGTGGAGTCCGATTTGTGGGATGAGCAATACCAAATCTGCCGACGCAGAATCGAATCCGGCCATGTTAGACCTAGTATGTTGTTTCACAGCGATTACTTCGAGTTATAATCCCAGTCACAGGGCGTTTTCTAATGCCCATGGTAGGCTTTTGCAGAGATATGATCGTCACAAATACTGTGAAAGCCGACTACCTGTCCGAGAGAGAGCTTAAATTCAATGCCGGTCACGCATGGGCAGGCGCAAGGTACCCATTGTGAACCTATCTCTCGAATCAGGCAACGCTGACAAGGAGATAGTGACACTCAATTCAACACGCTTTGGTTTTTTGTCAAGGTCTATGTCCTACGAGCGTTGCCGTAGAGTGACGCTAATCGCTGAAGCAGGCCATGATTCTGTACCCGGAATGTCAGAAAAGAGCGCAAGAAGAGATTGACAGCGTAGTGGGAGCCAGCGCCCTCCCTCAATGGTCCGACTGGGCTGCTCTTAGGTACACGCGCAGTATATTGAAGGAGACGTTGCGATGTATGCTTGAACTTTTGCGGAAGACTTTTACGAGTAACTCTGCTTACAATCGTGTTCAGTCTATCCGGCTACCATTACCGGAGGTATGCCTCATGCAGTGACCAAAGACGACACATATCTGGGATATATTATCCCAGCAGGAGCGGGGTTGGTCAATAATGTCCGTTGACCTCACTCATTTCTTTTCAGACAGAAATAACCCAAGATAGGTCTGGACCTTGAACAATCGTGTCGAGAACCCTCGAAAATTCGATCCCAGTCGCCATATCGACGATTCTCGGAGTACGATGGAATCAGCTATTCAAGCAGATGCTACCAAGCGTGACCACTTCACCTTTGGAGCTGGTCGTCGTATCTGTCCGGGCACCCATGTAGCAGACCGCGGATTGTTCATTGCCATTTCGAGACTCCTGTGGGCGTTCAACTTCGAAAGAATCCTTGGTGAAGCTCTTGAACAAGATGATTTCGAACCGGGTTTCATCACCTCGCCGAGGCCCTTCAGGTAAGCAAGCTCTCCGCAGCACGGAGGTGTCTATGAGATTGCGGCCTTGATAAACACACCTGAGCTGATCATACATTTAGATGCAAAATAACGTGTCGTAACGAGGCTAAACGGACTAGGATTAGTGAGATCTGGGAGCAATCCCAGAACTTCCTCGACGAGAATGGCGACTACATCCAAGAATTCTACGATCGCATGGTTCGTGGTCAAGCTGTTACTGCCTAACTGAAACTTTGAACGCGTTGCTAGGAATCAGAATAATATTCTTTAGCTTTTGACATTCACATCTCGTTATCCGACAAGTATATCCTTGTCTGGCCAGAACGTCGATCGGGCAGTAATTCTTGAATGTGGCAGTGGCCATCTCCTCAGCAAAGAGCAAGAAGGGATTTAGAGGTTCTCTGGGAGCCTTCGGGTTAATCAAGTCGATTCTCGCATTTTCGGTCAGATTAGGACAATATAATAATATTATTACTCTGTGACCGGAACTGTTCTGAGATGTCATTCGGACGAAACGTCCAAGAATGATTGATTGCTAACAGAGTTTTCCGTATTTGGTAAAATGGAGGCGATCCTGTGGGGTGTGCCGCTTTTTAGCGAGGGTGGTTTATAATCGGCTAACTTTCCTAACCAGAAGCGGGAGTTCTAACGTGCAGCTTTTACTCTGCTTGGCAAGTGCGCCGAACATTGTGAGGCCCCTCGGGCTGCACTGTGCGTCATACCCTCGATTTTCTGTGCGTCTCTCAGCGCTGAAGGCAGAATCCCTCAGCGTCTGGACCATCCACACGATCCTAAGAGTGAGAGACCAAGGGTATTGATTTTGTTCGCAGTCGCAACCCCGATCCCCCCATCCGGCCTCTTCTAGCAGGCCATAGAAAAATGCCCCCGATCCCACCGTCGCGCCTGGTCGCGCTTCAAGCGAACTCACAGAACATCCGCAACATCTGCATTCTCGCGCACGTCGATCATGGCAAAACATCTCTTACTGACTCACTGATCGCCACCAATGGGATCATCTCGCCGAAGATGGCGGGGAAGGTCCGCTACCTGGACTCGAGACCTGACGAGCAAATACGTGGAATTACCATGGAAAGCAGTGCCATCAGCCTGTACTTCAGTATGATACGCAGACAAAAGGAAGACCAAGAGCCAAAACAGGAGGAATACCTGATAAATCTGATAGACAGTCCTGGGCACATCGACTTTTCGTCAGAGGTCAGCACGGCCTCACGGTTGTGTGATGCCGCAGTTGTTCTGGTTGATGCTGTCGAAGGTGTGTGTTCACAGACCGTCACTGTGCTTCGACAGGTATGGATAGAGAAACTGAAACCTTTACTCGTCATCAACAAGATTGACAGACTCGTAACTGAACTGAAAATGACTCCATCCGAAGCATACTCACACCTTGAGAGAGTCTTAGAGGGGGTAAATGCCGTTATAGGAGGCTTCTTTCAAGGCGAGCGCATGGAAGAACATCTCATGTGGAGAGAAAAACTTGACCAGGAAAGAGCGGCTAAAGAGCAACAGAAACAGGATGCCATGAGCGAGACCGTCTCGGAGGCAGAGTTGGATCAACAGTTCGAAGAGCGAGATGACGAGGATCTATATTTCGCTCCCGAGAAGAACAATGTCATCTTCGCCAGCGCAATAGATGGATGGGCTTTCACTGTCCGCCAATTTGCGAGCATTTATGAGAAGAAGCTAGGTATCAAAAGATCCCTTCTTGAAAAAGTCCTCTGGGGTGATTTCTATTTGGATCCAAAGACCAAAAAGGTACTCGGTCAGAAACATCTGAAAGGAAGGAATCTGAAACCGATCTTTGTGCAACTTGTTTTGGAGCCTATATGGCAAGTCTACGATGCCACGGTTGGCATAAACGGAGGCCGGGGTGATCCGGCTTTATTGGAGAAGATAACGAGGTCGTTGTCTATCAATTTGCCCGCCCATATCACAAGGTCGAGGGATTCCAAAGCCATCTTACAAGCTGTCTTCTCCTCATGGCTACCACTGTCAACTGCCCTTCTTGTCTCTGTCATTGAATACTTACCAAGCCCTCCCAGCGCCCAGGCAAGTCGGTTACCCGAAATGATCGAGGATCTGGTCAGTTCAAAGAGCATCGACCAGTCTCTGAAAGATTCCATGATCAATTTCGACACCTCGGACCCCGCACCTGTTGTTGCGTATGTGAGTAAGATGGTAGCGATTCCCGAGAGTGAACTCCCCTCCAAGAGACGGAAACTCGGCGCCACCTTGACAGCAGATGAAGCCAGGGAGCTCGCCCGACAAAAGCGTGCGGAAATCGCGAAAGCACAGGCTGAAGCGGAAGGCACGACCAATGTGGACAGCATAACCAATGGGCTAAACGCGACAAGGATCGGAGAGGGTAATGGGGAGGGAACAGCGCCTGTGCAACCAGAAGACCCAGAACATTTAGTTGGCTTTGCCAGACTTTATTCTGGGTCACTCTCTGTCGGAGACGAAGTCTACGTTCTGCCACCCAAGTTCAATCCAGCATTCCCTCATGCTTCTCCAGAACCGAAAAAGGTGCCCATCACGGCTCTTTATCTCCTCATGGGCCGATCATTAGAGTCACTGGACAAGGTACCAGCAGGAGTGGTCTTTGGCATCGAAGGGCTGGAAGGCCACATTCTCAAGACCGGCACGTTATGCTCGCAGATAGAAGGAGCTATCAATCTGGCCGGTGCTTCAACGCTCAGTCAGCCCATCGTCAGGGTTGCTCTGGAACCCACGAACCCAATGGATCTGAACAAGATGATAAAGGGACTGAAACTGCTCGAACAAAGCGACCCATGTGCCGTCTATGAGCAGATGGAGAGTGGAGAGCATGTCATCTTGACCGCCGGGGAGCTGCATCTCGAAAGGTGCCTCAGGGATTTGCGAGAGCGATTTGCAAAATGTGACATTCAGCCTGGTGAACCGATCGTGCCATATCGAGAAACAATCGTGAAAGCGGAAGAAATGGAACCTCCGAAGAACAAAGATCTCCCGAGGGGAACAGCAATCGCGGTCACTGCGTCAAAGACTGTATCTGTCAGATTGAGAGTTCGACCTCTGCCACAAAATGTAACAGAGTTTCTTATCAACCATGGAGCGTCTATCAGGAGACTCTACGCAGAAAAGCAGGCTCAGGAGGAAGAAACAACGAAAGACGTCGACAGAGCGGACGAAGCCGACCTTGTCAATGACACTGGTAGCAATGAAAGAAGCAACCTCTCCCTCCAAGAATTTCGAAAACAACTTCAAGCAGAATTCGATGATGTCAAAGAGGACAAAGAAGTCTGGGCAAAAGTTGTACCAAGGATATGCAGTTTTGGTCCGCGAAGAGTTGGCCCGAATCTTTTCATCGACGCCACTGGAGAACAAACTTGTAAGCGATTTTTGTTTGAGCAGCATGAAATCACGGAAGGCGGAGAAGATTCAAATGAGACGAAGAGCAGCACCGAAGGCGTTGAAAACTCGACACCAAAGCAAGATTTCTCGGACACAATAGCATACGCGTTCCAGCTCGCAACGTCCCAAGGCCCGCTCTGTCGTGAACCGATGCAAGGCGTCGCTGTCTTCCTTGAAGAGATCAGCCAGCAGCAACAGCAACAACAGCCCACTGCCAGCACCGAGCCTTCGTCCAATGGCGACACTGCATCATCCGCGGGAGTCGAATCAGGCCGCCTCACCGGCGAACTCATAACGTCCGCGCGTGAAGCGATCCGCTCCGCCTTTCTGGACTGGTCCCCACGCATCCTGCTAGCAATGTACAGCTGCACCATCCAAGCCACCCCTGAAGTGTTAGGCCGCGTCTACTCCGTCCTCACGCGTCGCCGTGGATCAATCCTCTCCGAGGCCCTCCTCGAAGGCACCCCGTACTTCACCATCAGCGCGAAATTACCCGTTGCCGAATCTTTCGGGTTCAGCGAGGAAATACGCAAGAGAACATCCGGCCTCGCACAGCCGATGTTACAATTTGTGGGTTTTGAATTGGTCGACGACGTCGATCCGTTCTGGGTACCGAGAAGCGAAGAAGAGCTGGAAGACCTGGGTGTCCACGGGGAGAGGGAGAATGTGGCAAAACGGTATGTGGACGGGGTGCGGAGGAGAAAGGGACTGCTCGTCAGGGGAACGAGGGGTGTAGGAAGAGATGCAGAGAAGCAAAAGACTCTGAAGACGAATTAGACAAATGATGAATGATATTTGTTGGTATGTCGGACAGAGATAGAGAGAACTGAGAAGGCTCCGACTAGAATAGATGCAACTTCGGCGAAGTATCTTGTCTCGAAACGCATATCATGAGTCCCAATGTCCCGCTTCTGTAATTTTCATCTGTGTTGCAATTCCATTATTCCCTTCAGAGGCGAGGCTATGGATCATGATGACACGGATATCTAGTTCTGCTCGATCACTCATATCCTCTCGTCCAAATACCCAAATGTTCCAACCATGAAAGCACAAACGTTCCTGACCTTTGGGCGTAGTGGTAGGTGAGGCTGTTTGGCTTTTGCCGATAGCGAGCATCTTGACGGAACGCCGCTTCCCGCTTCTCTCGCACCGTTCGGAAGACTTCATCTTGAACTCCGTCACTAGATGGGGCTTTCTTGTGTTTGCAGGCGGGTTCCAGCAGCGTCAGAACGCAGAATCGGCTACTATTTATGCACCACGTCATTCTATTATACGGCCCTTGACATCTCTACAGACAACAGAAGGATGCGAATTTGAGAAATACCTTGCACCACCAACACCATCAACACTGAGGAATTCCTGAAAAAGTACCAATTTGTCGGACAGAGACTGGAAATCTTATTTTCCTGGTCTGTGGAGCGTCGCATATTCAACTCAGCCCCGCCCGGAATAGAGAACTGGAGCGGGTAACAGTGCCAAAGCAATACGTATGACTGTCTGCTATTTTTTCGGGGCTTTATCAATACGCCTTTGGCTTTGGATGAGATCTAAGATCCCTTGTTCACGGGTCTAAGAAGACGGGCAGTGAATATGATGGAACTAGAAAACGGGTTGGTTGGATATTGTCTGAGTCCTTGCAACTGGCGGATGCTGTGGGCCACGACATTGGCAGTGAAGAGAGAAATGAACGCTCAATGGGTCCTTTGACAAACGCATCTTTGGGTTCGCTGCCAAGCCCACTAGCCTCACTAGCCCAAGGCTGCAGCCTCGTTGTTCCTCACCAGCCACATCTCTTGCCATGCTGGCCGAATTCTGTGTGCCACGCTCAATTGATCAGCTTGTGCGGGACAGTAAATGGAGACTTAGACAACCAGAAACTTCTCATTTCTACGCGACCACAGCTTCCGCGGTCAGTTCTTTGAGAATGCCGAGGACCGACTGGACGCCTTCCTGCGAAGTCCTGGCTAGACCACAGACTGGTGCAACACCAAACTCCCCCAATTGCTTCCTTGCGGCAGCGACCCTTTCCTTCGCACCTTTCAGGTCGTCTGGATAGACGAGGCCCAGATAAACGGCAATGTTCTTGTCCTCTAGCTTAGTGAGCGCCGCGTACGGCGTCTCGTCCTTCCACTCGGCCAGACATCCGAAGTGAATCCACTGCAGGGGCCTGCTGGCTTTTGCCTTGGATACGATCCGGTTCGCCAGTGCGACCATGATTGACATGTCCCGTGGCGCCAGGACGGGCTTGTTGTTGATGTTGCCCATGCAGATGTGCAGACCCGTGTATGCTTTGGAGGGAACCTTTCCAATTAATCCTGCGTACTGGCTGGCGTACCGCTCCATGGCGTCCTCCGCTGGTGGGTGAAAATCTTCCCGCAGCGCGCCTAGATACGACGACGGATCCTGCTGGGCCTCATTCTTGATGTAGTCACTGGCAATGTCGAATTGGATGGCGAGATCCTCCGCCGGGATGGCCGCCGCGATCGCTTCAGTCTCCTGCAGCATGGCCTGGTACGCGAGATCCTCTACTAGATATTGGAATGCGGGCTTGACAAAAATAGCCATACTCGACACTCCCGGCAAACAGACTTGGAAACGGACGTGCTTTTCGATTCTCCCCTCCTCCCGTAGCTTGCAGAAGATCTTGTAAGACGCGGCGGCGTCCTCGGCATACCCGAGCTTCCACGACGTCAACTTGATAGCGTCACGGAGCTGCTTAACTTCCTCGGCCGGCATCTCCTTGACCGGTAAAGGATCGTATTTCTCGTCATATTCACGCCAGATTTTGCCGATCGCCGGGTTCTCGGTAGCTTTTTTCTGCACCAGGCCAATGGTGAAGTTCCAACGCCACCCCGGTTCCCCGTCGGGGATGGACTTGATGCGTCCTTTCAGCGCTGCCGAGCATGTTGAAAATGCTGTTGTAGCATCCGGAGCTGGGAAACTGCCCACGAGATGCACGGGAGCCGCTTTGTATGCTGACATGGTGAACCAGGACTAGTAGCTGTTTCTCTGCTTTTATGACCGAATTAAAGATTGGACGTGCTGTCTGACAAGGAACAGGATATGCCTACTAAGTGGGTGCGATTCGACTTCCGCCGGGGTGAAAGAAACAAGAAATGGAAGTCTTCAGGGGGCAAGGAAACCAGGAGCGCGAAAGCTATCTAATGATGGTAAGTACCGAGACCAATGGTGCTTGGACGCTGGCTTGCATACCCGACCCCGGGACTATGTATGTGCTGGTCCAGTCGCTCGTCGATGTGCTCCGAGGATGACCTGGTACATCTAAGCGATGTGCTGCAGATTTGTACGGGGCCAGAGAGAGCCTGGCGGCCTCCATTTAGGAAACTGAAGCCCGCCAACGAGCAATCTTCGCTGCAGCATGCAGATCACCTCTATGCGGATCTCTGCTGTCACACTCGGGTTGCCTGGGTTGTTCTACGGTATGCCACTCCGCATCCTCTGTTCGGGAGAGCGGCGTCGAATTCAAAGAAACGGCCCATATTCAATCTCATCGTTTTCAGAAGCTTGATCTTACTCGTTCATCTAGCATTACGCCAACGTCGAAGAGGAATCACTCCGTACCGGCTTTCGCCTCTGGCTCTTGCCCTCTCGGATGACCCCCACGCTGCATGATGGGCGACTTCGCCATCCGCTCCCAATCGTGAAGCATTTCTGTGTTTTCCTTGGACAGGCGGACTTCCTCGCCCGCGCGATCCACCAACTCGGCTTGATATGCAGCCGCGGCTTCTTCAAAGGTCGTTATTCCAGCTAGGGCATCCTTGTACTTGAGAACTAGACTTCTTGCATCTGCTATGCCGTGGTTCAGTCCTTGGCCGCGCTGGAAGGTCATGGGATGAGCAGCATCGCCGGCAAGAAGGATCCTGCCTTTACGGGTGTCCCAAGGCCGAGGAATCCAGTATGACAAGTTATTGCTGTGAACCGTTGTTCCTTCTGGAATCCACAGGTTGGCGGAGCGAAATGGCTCACCCATGGTTTCAGCCTTGGCCTTCAAATTGGCTAGTGAAGCCACTTCTTCCCCTTCCTTCTTGTGCCACGTGGTCTGTAGCTGGAAGACCCAGGTGGCGGGATCATTTGGGTCTGGCACTTCTTGGACTAGTTACGGAGGTTAGTTTTCACAGTGTTCCTGTAACCGCACATCACGGCGAAAGACAAATGCTTACTCGAAATCCATTGCCAATAGCCGTTAGGGTGCATGCCCATGGCCATAATGGGGTGAGCCTGGCGGACGAACTTGGCTTTTTCGGCATCATTATAGCAGACATGCAGATTGACAGCAGAATAAGGGACGGTGCAGGGCTGGCCTTCTTCTCCAAATATGGTGTTTCTGACCAGGGACTGGGCGCCATCGGCTCCAACCAAAATTGTCCCCGTGGCTTCTGTCCCATCTTCAAAGATAGCTGTCACCGTCGACTTATCATCATCAAAGGTAATATCGACGAGCTTTTTATTATACTTTGGGAGTTAAGAAGGTAGGGTTAGCTTGGCAATGGTGCAGGACAAGGATCAGCCATGATTCACAAAGATTTACCTGGACGTCAATACCTTCCGTGCACAATTTCCTGAACCGTCGACGGGAGACGCGATACATGCGCAGCAAAGGAATATTTTTCATCACTTCCCCGGTTTGGCCATTGATGGCGGGGAGAATACCGGGATCGGGAGGGACAAAGGTAGGGTCGACAGCGGCAGTGTAGACTCGCTCGAAGAGTTCTTGGGGCAGACAGTCGGCGAGCATTGGCAGCCCCCATTGTACTGACATGCCCCATTCTCGAGGTCGGTAGGTGGTGGCGGAAAGCTCAGACTCATAGATAGCAAAGGAGATGCCTATCTAATAGGAGAGATGTGCATCATTGTCAGTTAGAGAATTCCCTTGGCTGTCGCGCTCCACTCGGATTATCCGTACCTTTTTCAAGCCCTGAGCAATGAGAAGGCCGACGATGCCTGTTTATGAGACTCGGTTAGCTTGTTTCATGGTTGACGATACTGTGGGCGACAGGCATGTAAGCGAGCCGAACACAGGAGCGTGTGAAGCCAGCCCAGCCATACCCGACCCTATGATGAGAACATGAACTGGATTTTGCTCCTTGGTCATCCTGCAGACGCACTCTTCTCTGTCAACAGATCGGTCCTAGAGCAAGAAAGGTGGGGGGAGGGCGACGTAAAGGATGGCCGCCGAACAACAGTAAAGAGCGGTCTGATTCGAGGAAGGCAGGCTTTTTAATGGAAGAGTACCGGTGCCAGAGAGTTGGAATCCGTCATTTGAGAGCAGCTGAGCCGTCCAGGGCTGTGGACTTAGTCATTGAACGCGAGAGGGGAGCTGAGCATTTCGCCGGAGTGGGTGGGCTGGCAGCAAGACAACGCGAGGGGCTCCGTGGGATGGACATCTTGATAGCGGGCAAGGCTATGATTGGTCTTGGATCAAGAGTAGAGTGACACGTCAGCGGTAGGACGTTTGTACAAATGGATGGGCAAGGACGACTAGAGAGAGATTGGGATCCCAAGTCAATGGAAAAGTCTAGCTGCAGGTGTTGGTGGTGTACTGTACCATCGTTCGGTTATGGGAGGGCTCTCGAAGCCCAACCAGCCTGAAACATCATTCTTTCACTAACTTTTGCCGGCTAGTTGGCCGGGTAGTGGCCCCTAGCCGTAGGGCTGGTGGGCTAGTGGGGCCTAGACCATCGCCCAGAGCACCCGTTGTTGGTTGACTACCGAATACCGAGTACTTACAGTAGTTGCTTAATTAATCGTAGCACTCACACTGCCGGAACGGACCACCACGGACCGCCCGGACGGTGTCAACCTCGCCACGCCCGTCAGCGCCTTATAGGTGCCCAAGCTGGTTAAGCTTTGACCGATCATTTAGTTAAGCCGCCATTGGAAAGTGCCCACCAGTCAACACCAGTCACTCCGCCCGGACTGCTCCATAATATCTGTGTCTGCTTGTGTCGGGAGGAACATCGTCCATTTTCAAGATCCCAATGAACCTTGCAGCTGTTTTGTTTCTGTCTCTTCTGTTCTCCACATTTTGTCCGCCTAATTGCTTTTGGCTCTGGCCCGTTTCTGCACCCTATCAAACTTCACATCACTCCATTGGATCTCTTCCAATGGTTCTCTCCATGGCTGACACCTGCTTTGTGAAGAGCTAGTTTTGGGAAGTACATTACACTTGAAACGCCACCTTGGCTTTGGCCGAAGATGTTGTCCGTCACATTGACCCTTTGCTTGCTTGGGAGTCAAATGGTGGCTGTCAAGATATGGCATCACAAGCACATACCGCTGATGATCCAACTGATTCTACAGTTATACCCGCCCCGGAGTCATCACTCTCGGAACCACATCCCGCAGAAGGTCCTGGACCAGGCCCAACTTCACAACTTGAACCATCTACCGAATCGGATCCGAACCAGACTATCGAGGTTGATGTAGGCCTGAATTTCATTTCGCCTTTCGTCCACATCTTGCCCACTTGCTGACTAGCCGCTTCTATATGATATCAGAGACTCTCAGACTTGGATTCTGCCTATGGTGAATCAATGTACGCAGTTTGGGATACATCTCAGATTTAAGACAGTTGACGGGAACAGACACAGCGATTTGACATCATTAGCATCCAGCATTACTCGAGGTGTTTGGGAACATGGTCGCCGATATCACTCCTACGGTAGATCCCGTAGGTACCGCCGTGCCGACGCAAGTGTGTGGTGGCGACGTCAGGACTGATCGACATGGCAGAGTACGCCTTTCCAAACGACGAGGCCGAGGCCGAAAGACTGGACATGCAACATGCCATGCAGACACACCTGCTGGGAGATCGACTGTTCTGGGCCCCCATCAACCCCAATCCGGCTAGGGTCCTGGATCTAGGAACGGGCACTGGAATCTGGGCCATTGAATTCGCTGACATGTTCCCTTCCGCCGTGGTCACAGGCACCGACCTGAGTCCCATCCAACCTCAGTGGGTGCCTCCAAACTGCAGCTTTGAGATTGACGACGCAGAAGCTGAGTGGACTTGGGATGAGGGTACATTTGACTACATTCATAACCGCAATTTCGTCTGCGCAATTCGAGACTGGCCGAAGCTCATTCGCCAATGCTACCAGTATGAGAATGAGAATTTCAATGTGATATGTTTGCTTTGCCGATGCACTTGCTGACAAATTGGGATGTATAGATTTGTTAAGCCTGGTGGCTGGGTAGAATGGCATGAGAAACACCCCTATCTGCTCAGCGATGACGGGTCGCTGTCAAAAGATTCTGCTCTGTTTCAATGGGGCGCGAAATTCTTCGAGGCCAGTAAGTCAACAAGGTTCCGCTTAGTTCTCTCCATCTAGTACGAGACAGTCCAGGCACTTTAGACTTACAAACCATATAGGCGTTCATTTCGGAAAAGACGCCCGATCACCTCAGAATCTGAAACGATGGATGGAGGAGGCCGGGTTCGTCGACGTGGAAGAGCACATCCTCAAGCTCCCCGTCGGGCCGTGGGCAAAAGACCAGAGACTTAAAGAGGTGGGCCTTTTCGAGAGCGTCAACATGACCGAGGGGATCCAAGGCTTAACCATCATGCTTTTCACCCGCTGTCTGCAGTGGACTCCTGCCGAGGTCGAGTCATTCCTCTTGGACGTCCGAAAGGATGTCAAGAACAGGGCTATTCATAGCTATTACCATTTGTGAGTCCATGTTTCCAAACAGCGCCTAGTTCGCGGTGGCAGAAATTGACCCTGATGGACAGTTATGTGGTCTTTGGGCGAAGACCGGAGTAATCAAGCCTCCGGGTGCTTACGTCAAGACTGCGCCCCCAAATGGCAGGACTGAGCGAGCAGCATCGCGGTCAAAAGAGGACGGATGGAAACATATAAGGGCAAATTGAGGGAAGGAGAATCGAACATATCGGGGGCGTCCTACAAATACAAGCAACATGTACCGCAGTATCTCCGAATTTCGGTGCCCAGTTCAGTGCGCCCGAAACCTTTCCGCTGAGCTTGATTTCTCACGGGAAAGGAGCCATTGCAAGGGGAGATGGGACTGTTCACATAACGACGACTCGAGGCTGGGCGTTGATTGCCATCGCTAGTCGATCCAAGCACCTGGCATGCTGGCAAGGCAACCTTCGGATTTCCTCCTCAAAAGGCTAAACGAGGTTACATCCAAATTTAAACTGCGCGATTCATTTCAACCATGATATGCTTTGGGAAAGGACTTCAACTCAGCTTTGCAGCTGCATAGTTTCGGACCTGGGTTGATTTCGACCTTTGTCTTGCAGGTCGCGGACCAAAGCCTACAAGGACGCCCGCCGATATTATAATGAGCCAAGAAGGCGAAATCTAGCTTACTTGCATTCAGCGTTCCAGCATCTATTCGATCGCGGGCCGTCTTGGTGAGGTAAACCTACTGAGAATCATATCTGTGATTAGTTAATGAAATGTGTTGAAAACGAGCATTTTTCTTACGTCAATCAGTGTTGTGAGACCGGAATCATCAGCTGACGGAATTCTGCGCCCGTGAGTGATCGAGGATGTGTCGCTAACATCATAGTTTGTCAGGCGGCCCCAACATTCTGTGGGATCGATGAGCGTTTCCATCAGAAGCTCTATGCTTTCGAGTTCACGCTCGGTATGCGAAAACAAAATGTTCGCAATGTCAATGACCTATATGGCGGATCGAAAAGGCCTCTGGGTAGAACACAACTGGTGTACCAGATATGGGATATAGCTGTCGGCTCCTCTGGTGATGAGGCGTATCGAGTGCAGTTTTTATGGTGTTTTCTCGCCAGACCTCGTCGTTGCTGAAATTTCAATATCAGACCAATCTCGATCAAAACGGAGAGGGGGGCCCTTCATTCACAGATACCGCAAGATAAACCATATTTATTCTAGCTGGTTGCCCTCGAAAGAGTCCAAAGCATCTCCAGGACCACGTCAACCAGAACCCACCATATTCAAGAAGCCATAGTCAAAGCTACGTGCAGAAGGCTGGCAAACAGTCTGCATGCGAAAGCAAACATTCTGCCTTCAGATTTTCGGACGTATAGTAACTTCTTCGTCTAAACGTTAGCCATATAACTTAGTTGTCATAGATTGACTTGCGAAGCATTACCAACTCTTGGCCTCAAAATGCTGATAGCAAAGAGTGTTGTCGCGCGCCTTGTCATAGGTAAATGCATAATGACAGCTTAGGGTTCTCTACTATGCTGCAACCAGTTGCATTCTTTGTCGTCTAATAGTCATTCGCCTCGTCGATGCGATTGCCCCAAGGATACCAATGAGTTCAGTTCCGGTCACTGTATGGTTCAGTATTTGAGCGACTTTAGGCAACGCTCAAAAACACGAATGTCTATCATGACCGCCAAGGCGCTAGGCTAGAACCAAAGCATCACAGTGTGAACTATTATCATGCTTCCTTGCATGCCTTGAGTGAAGGAGAGTGGGCCGACAAGGCTGTGAAAAAGGAGGATCGGTGCAAGAAACTACTAGCATGGATCCACCCATTTTCTCCACCCAAACCGTAGCCATCGCCGTCATGTTTCCGATTGCGGCTTCAAATGGGACATTCCGATCATCATGTACGACGCCTAGTCGTCGATCATTTCAGGCTTCATCTGCGGCTCGAACCTGCACTAATTGTCCAGCCCAGCGTAGATGCTAGGGACTCGCACTGTCCTGACGAAACCTAGAAATAATGGGCCTACCGATAGAAGGACGCTGCAAAGCACAAGCAATCTTTCAACACGACCCGACCCGGGTATCAGGCACAACTTGGCTACCGTCGGCCCCGGCCAGGACACCAAAGAAGTCCCGGTAAGGACTGACAGCGGCTCATCAGTTGGCACTCTGAACAGCTAGATTTCGTCCTCAGGCACATCTTCAGCACCACCATTCTCGCTGGAGCCTAGATCCTGGATCCCCTCCTGCCGTTTTTGAGGATACTCAATTCTCAGTATCCGAATCCAAACTCTACATGGAAGAAGCGATTCTCCGCAAGCTTCAGGAATTCCAGGCCGATATTACTTTTGGCTCAAGCCTGCTCACGCCTATAGTCAGCGCTGGGAGGTCGAGAAGGCCGAGAAACAACACCAGATATCCCTTGGAAAGCTATCCTATCCCACACAGTCCGAATTTAGTGGAAACTTGTCCGCCTTTAATGTTGACCGCTTTCGAAATTACGGCCGAGTCCATGATCTACGCGTTTCCGAACTTGGCCCTGTATCCGGAAATCCAGGGCTAGGTCATTGAAGAGGTTGACTCACACTAAACGAACACTACAGACTACCACGAGGCGTTCCCTAGCTTGTGCATTGTGTAGCTCTCGTGTAAAAGACGCCGCGCTTCGCGGGACCTGCATCTCAGCCGACCCGTGCGCCCACGGTGCCCACGTGGCTCCCAGCCTCTGCCTCAGCGTAAGGCTGGTGAAGCGTTGATAGCAAAAAGGGACTTCTCCGCCGCGATCTCTATGCTAGTCTGATGTGTCTTGTCATGGGCCTTGCTTCGATCCAAGCTTGTCGATGGATTCGCGCCACCGATATTCTTTCCGCGACTTCGTCGAACCATTCAATCAACATCAAATTCACTAGGCCACTTCCTTTTCCCTTCCACGGAAACTGCCCCTCATCAAAGGGACGCAATCTAGTATCTGTTGTCTGGAACCCAGACCTTCTATCTCTCGACTCGCCGAAGCTTGAAATCAGAATGAACTGAAGATTGCCGTTCCGCTTCTGTCGGCGCCTCCTTTTTGCCGTTTGCTTGAAAATAAAGCCACAGTATCGGTTCTTGGAGTCAAATAACTTGGACACAGTCTGTTTGGTAGTAATGTTGGCGTGTTCATTGTCGGTAAGCGATGGCCCTGTGACTTGTCCTACTGAGAAGCATTTGGCGTCCACCGCTTCGGTCCAGAACTGGAGAACGTTAGGACCAAAATCAGGCCCCGAGACGCCATGAAGGAAGCAATCAGAATATGGAACGTATTTTGGGAATATCTCTTCTTGAGGCGTTGTTGACGATCCAAGATTCCGCGGTTCAGTGGCTCCTGTTTCCTCAGTACTTTTATGAATGTGCAGGATAGTGCCTTGATGATGAAGGGAGAATTCTCGTATTTCACTCCTGGCATATTCGTGGTGCAGTGATCGATACGTCCTTTTTCCGTCCTCCATAATGACGTACTGCTTGGCTCCAGTCCAGCCAGCCCAAGACCAGCTTGGGAACATACTGCCTCCGGCACCCACCGCTGTCCGCCTATCTGCAGGCTCCGTCGGGGCCCACAGGAAACTGAGGTCAAGATACCTCGTAGGGCAGCCAACAATCAGTTGACCCCCAACTCGATCTTGAATCACTGCCAAAATACCTGCCAACGCGTTTAGGATGTCAGCCGAAAATGAGAGCTTTTTCTTCGTATACATCTCTATTACATCTTTGTAGACGTCAAAATCTTGCTTTGCTAGGATTCCCATGTCTTCAAATACGCTCAGATTCTCCTGGGGTCGAAATTCGATAGGATTTTGGGGGGGAGGAAACCTGAAATGGAGAAGAGGGTTTGTCTCTCGTGATCTTATCAACTCAGTTGCGTTTCCTGACTCGGGACTAGTCGTGATGTCGGACCAAGTAACAATATTTCCTCCAGTCTCGCATTGGGTATGCTTCCAACACTGGAAATAGACATAGTCGGAGCTGAAATAGATGCCACGCCTGGAAAGGAGCCTTTCTTGGAATGTCCAACCCCTATTATGCCAAACTGAGGTCTCTAGAGCGTATTTCAAAGGAGGTGGGTGTGAGACCACAGCAAGGATACCTTGCGAAGGCGGCTTGTCTGGCACCGCTTTGTGCTCTAAAGTATTATTGGGTCCTCTCGAGTCTTCTGATTGTTTGGGGATACGATAATCCGACGCGGAAAACCAATTTTCCATTTCAGTGGATATGGTTCGACAGACAGTGAGCAACTCATGCTTTTGCTTGTCACTCCTTGCCAATCCATCATACTCCCGAATCCAAGCTGGATCTGGCTGGAACGGTTCCTTGCTTGAATGCCTTGTTTCGATGTTCTGAGGTTTCCGAGACCCTGGTCGTACACCAGGCAATCCCGCATTTGCATCTTTGCCATGCAGACAAACTATTGTTGCGAGCGCGTTACTGTAGACTTTGTCCATGCTTTGAATGTTGGAATGCTTTGTATTGATGTCGTCTTGAACAATACACAATGCGTCCACCCAGAGATACTTTTCTTGCATCTTCATCGTCAACATAATTGCGTCCTCGATGGTTTGAGATAACGTAGGGGGCAGGCCAGAAAGCTTCAATCGAGATTCCAGATTGCCTCTCATTGTCTCTGAAGTTTCAACCTGACCCCAGACGTAACTGAGAGCTAAATACCGCGAGGCCGTTGTTGACCGAACCAAACATCGCAGGTTGACATCGATGAGGAGGATTGGATACTCTATTTCGGCGCTGCTGCTGCTCAATGTAAGCGAATCACATGTCTCGCCATGCTCTCGCTCGCATACATTGATCCAAATTTTGATTTGGTCAATCGAGATTGTTTGATCGGTCTGGTCGCGGAATGGGCTGTCCTGACACTCGAGAACCTCTCTTGCGGATGTTCCCGAGAATTGAAACACTTGTCGAATGGTTTCCCGGAAGTTTTCCTGGGTGACAATTCGCAAGATACCAATTCTTCTCAATGAGTATTCAATAGCCATGCAAGTCTCGCCGGAAGGTAAGATAATTGGAATAACCTGTACGCCTTGAAGTTCCGGGTCAACCTTGGCAAGAAAGGGATGAAGTCGTAGCGGGACCGAACCGCCCGATAGAGAGAACACAATAAGACGGCATATCATGCATTTCGATCTGCATAATAACTGTGCCCAAGTCCCGAATGGTCGGTACGATGTCGAGATGTCGTCGGTGAAGTGGCCGTTCCTCACAATCCTCATCTTTTGGCACATACGACATAACGTCGGATCGGTCTGTTCCTTATTTTGTCTCATGGCCTGGACATGGATTTGCTCCCACCAGGATTCTCTTTCTCGGAAACGACGCCAGGATATTGGTCCTGCATACTTTTCGTCTGAGGAAAGGAGGTTCTCGGCGACTTCAAGCGGAAGCTTTCCTGATGCACCATCCAAAGGCAGTCGTCTAACGCCACGACGACTTGGATGATCACCTTCCCGTATGTACTTTAGCGGGCCGTTTGCCGAATTGACAGTCCAGGCCAGCTGGTTCAACGGTTCGTTTGATTCTTCGGATATGTAACTATGTATTGTGTCCGTTGAATAGAAGCCGCACTTGCCTTGCGGTATCCGCAGGAACCTCCGAAGGTCTTCCAAGTTGAATTTAAGTGTCATGACAGCCTGATGACCAGATTGACACTGAGTATTTGCTGCTAGGGTGAAGTTCGAGCACCGACTTTGACTTGTTTTGATAGAGTCGGGGCACATCTTCTGTTTGTCAGGCTGAGAAGATTCAGCCCCAACTTGGCAAACGTCTTGAAGCCCCTGAGGGAGGCTTTGAGCTACATCGACCCCTGCACGAGTAATTTGACCAATCCATTCGACAACAGTGACTAACGTAGGACGAATAAAACTTTGCCCAGAAATTGCACCGAACGTGTAACAATATCCTGATACAATACGCTGGCCTCCTGAAACTTGAACGGCGCCTGGAAGCGATGCAGTTCTTGGCAAGGCGCTCTACTGAGTTCTCAGTTGCTGGCAGGGTTCAAGTTCTCTTGTCGATTACCAGCCTCGTATTCGATTTTTATCAAATGCGTCTCCTATTCGTAGAAGAGGCTCTATCAAGGGTGTCTTATTTTTCAATCACATAAAATGGTTGCCTGAACCCCTTAGAGGATTATTTATCAGCGTTGTCTCCCCCGGGCAGTTTCTTCCCTTGACTACGCTACTCCACCAGCCTCGTAGTCAGCTAGGACGGTCTTCCAGAGAAAGCAAAATGCCAAGCATCGATGATTTTGTTTACGGAGGTCTTGAAAGGGGAGAGTCATCAGATTCCCTGGATGAGGTTGGGTCTACAATCAAGGAGCCGGTCATCGTGGTCGATGAAGTCTCAGCTGACGGAGAATATGAACCCGACCCTGCCGCGGATATCTTTGAAGCTGGAATGAAATGCGAATCAAAGCGACTATATCCGCGGCACGACGGTTCCCTCTATGTCGAATGGGTTGACGAAATTCCGGCGAGAATCATGGATCAGGCATGCGGCTACGGGAATGCATGGAAAGAATATGCCCTCCTCCTTCGCACCAACCTCGAGCAGGGAGAGCAACGAATACAATCAATCCTCATTCAGAGTCCCCTGCTGAAGTCGAAACTCAATTCGATCTTCCAGGATTATCCTGGTTTTTTCATGGACGAGAATAAGGCAACCATCGATGCTCCGTTCAAACCATTCGTCCATTGCTGGGATGCTTTCGAAGGCGCTTGTCAAGACCAATCTCAAATCGGCAAACACATGCAACTTCTGAGATCTGCACTGGAGCCTGAACTTCAGGAAGCGTTTGCGGTGATAAAAGACTTCCAGACTCACGGCATGATTCGATTCGACCGACTTTGGATGATATTCAAGCCCGGCTCCTTCATCTTTTCAGAACACCAAGGCATCGAACGAATATACAAGCTCCGCCGGACCGAGCTTCGCAAGACGCCAGAGACCTCCAGCGTGTACTTCCTGCTCCATTGCTATTCCATCGACTGGGATGGAAAAGCATTCGGTCACACTCTCGAAGTCGAGGGAATCAAGGACTTCGAGGGAAGCAGAAAGTTTACTGACCTGGGGGTATTTCCCTTGGATTCCCACCCGGCAAAAGGTGCTGTCATTGAACGGTTAGTCGAAAGAGGTAGAAAATTCTCCTCTTATACCCGTGTCCATTATCGCGCGTATAATGGTCCAGCCACGAGCTACGTATTGGGTGGAGCATTCGCAGAAGAACAGGTACATCATTCCCGCGGCCATACACAAAGCGGAAACTAACTTTTCCAACAGGTCTCTGGACGAGTAGTGGTAGACACGGGTAGGTTACCTGCTTCGAGATTGATATAGTGATTGAACCAGTAATCAGAAACCTTCATGCACTTCCATCCCTACAGTCGCGACCTTATTCAACGTCTCGGAACGAACGAACCCAAGGGCAAAGATTCGAACGAAGATTCTGACCAGATCGACTCTTCTTACACAAACCGAAACATGTATATCAACATTCCTCATTTGAGAGATCAAGCTATTCTAAGCGCAAACAATAAGAGCTTGGAAATGGAGCAGACCGAGTTGACAGACGATCAATTGATGATTTGTTGTCCAACTGTGAGAGGATATTCTCTCGACCTAAACGTGTGGAGTTGGTCCTTCGCCCCTTTTCTGTATAAAAAGTGATCGCTGATTGTTCCAGTGCATTTGAGGATTGACTATCTCCGGAAAATTCAGTGGAACGCAAATGCATTTGAGAGTTTGGCGCTGCCCGGAAACTACAAGAGGCTTCTGTTGGCATTTGCTGAGACTCAACGGGATTCAGCTGCCCAGTTCGACGATGTTATTGAAGGGAAAGGTAAAGTCTGAGAGTGCGATTCATTCATTAGAAGATATACTCAAGCCGATATAGGGAAAGGAATGGTCGTGCTGCTGGAGGGACCTCCTGGTCTTGGAAAGACCCTGACCGTTGAATCCCGTATGTTGCACGCATTCAAAGAAACATGTGATACTGACCAGGCTTCCTCAGTGGCTGAAAAGATGAAAGTCCCGATCTTCAAAATTGCATCTGGCCAGATGAAGTCAGACCCGGGAACCATCAAAGCGGCCCTTCAAGATGCCTTCTTGATGACTAAATCCTGGAAGGGGATCATCCTTTTGGATGAAGCTGACATATTCCTTGAAAGGCGGTCAGTAAATGATTTGGACAGGAATCAACTGGTTTCTGGTATTGCCATGGCCATACCTAAAAGGATTTGGAATTTCGCTGACCAGTATTGCAGTCTTTCTTCAACACCTTGAATACTTTGAAGGGACTATCTTTCTTACCACAAATCGAGTCGAGTGCATCGATCCAGCATTTGAGTCTCGAATCCACCTGTCACTTTCATACCCCGAATTGACTCAGGAACTCCGCCACAAGATTTGGAAAAATTTCATTCAAAGGATGAAAGTCGACACAACGCAAATTACCGACGCGCACCTGGACAAATTTGCTGCCCTTGACCTCAACGGCCGTCAAATCAAGAATACAGTGAAGATGGCTGGACTGCTTGCCGCGCAGGCAGCAGATCATTGTTTGACTGCGGAGCATGTGGAGACGATGTTGACCATCGTCCAGTCGAAGTGAGTATATGATGTTCTGAGGTGGCTCAATTATCATGTATTGTAACCCTTTGGTGTAGGTCTGGCTTACGGACTCCCCTACCCCTACGAGTCCCCATGGGCCCAGGATAGGGCCCAGAGCTCGTCGAATCAAGCGTGGGGTTGTGAGGGTAAAGAGGTGACACAGCCACAGCACCTCGGACATCGTATTGTGGCTTGCCAAGAATGTGGTTCTACGCTTGGCGGTGGATCACGTGACACTTGTTTTCATGGAAATTTTGGCCTCTATCTTTTTTCGTCGAGCTCTCCGCTCCACAACCCCGTTTAATTGCTCACCAACAGTCGTGGAATGATTCTTCTTCTAGAACTCTGTGCGTCACGGTTTATTTTGACAGCTTAAGGTATAACACCCTTGACGAGTCTTTCGTGACTCTCGATGTGGATTCACCCATGTTGAACATCCCCTCCGGCTCTTCCCTAAGGCGTTCTTTTGCTTCTTTGAATCTACTTACCCGTAGTGAGGAAACAGCCTACTTTTTCAATTCTCCAAGTACAGCTCGACAACCATGACTTCTTCGCCAGTCGTACCTGGCCAGGTTCTGGCCAGCACATCTTCATACATTTCCGGTCCGGGCACTCACGTCTATGAGAACAACATCCTCGCTTCGATCCTTGGGCAGTCACTCATCTCACCCGCGCCAAATAAATCGAGCAAGCCAACCATCTCGGTGCCCCGTCGAGCCACAGCTGTAGCTTCAATCAGCTCTCTACCAAAAGTTGGCTCCGCTGTTCTCTGCCGCGTCACGAGGGTCCGACAAAGAGAACTTTCGGCCTCAATTCTGTCCATCATCGACCCATCCTCGTCAGTGTCAAATTTCGCCAACGAAATCATCTCTTACTCCCAGGTAACAGACGACGAGCTCCAATTCCAATGCATCCTCCGGCGCGAAGACATCCGCACACACGAAAAGGACAAGATCGTTATCAACGACATGTACCGTGTCGGCGACATCATCCGTGCCACGGTGATCAGTCTAGGCGATGAGAGGAACTACTACATTAGCACGGCAGGGAATGAGTTTGGCGTCGTGGTGGCGACAAGTGAGGCCGGCAACGCAATGGTCCCCGCGAGTTGGAAGGAGATGAAGGATGCTGTGACGGGGAAAGGGGAGAGTCGAAAAGTCGCCAAACCTTCATGAAATCAATTCAAACGCTAGGGATGTTACTCGTAATGACCTCGGCCACTTTCGCTACATTACCCAAATGTCACCATAGCCGATCACTCAGCAAACACTGCAAGCGTCGAGACCTTCTCAAGGGCTAAATTCCCAGACCCGAGACAAGACGTCACCACTACATCAAATCACGCTGCCAACTTCCCCCGAAAGAGAAGAGCATGTGATTTCGACCTCTGCCTCTCCAGAAGATGCAAGTGCAGACGAAGGCAAGACCCAGCGTGTCTGAAACAAAAGTTCAAAGAGCATGTTCGAGACCTGTCTCGCTCTCCTTATACTCAGACACCTACAAGGCTGTCGAAGCTGCGTGAGCCATCTACAATGATGGAGCTCAATGTTTCTCGCATCAAATAGGAGACTATGATCTCAGGAATGTCGTCACTCTGCCTGCTACCACGTCCGTCTTGCCCAGCGCAGACCAGATTGCGCAGAGCCAAGGACCCATGGAACGAGATGGAAGTGCGAAGACAAGGGCCGCTCTGTGTTCTGCGATCTCGACCTTGATCTCTGCCAAAGCCCAAACTCGGATTTGAACTTCAAGTCGAATGGGACCATGCCGGCGATCACATTTTCCTTTCCATGTCGCCCCATCGGGCGCTTCGCAGATGTAAATATGTATGTGTGGGGTGACAAACGAGCGAGCAAAGCCCACCGCCGGGACAAGATACATGAAGCTCTCTCCTGTCTTCGAAGACTTTGTCATCGACCATCTCCTTCTTATCTTCCTCTCGCGCGCTCGCTCGGCCCGGTGCTCGATATACCATCGGTCATTCCCTGTCTCTCCCCCTTTCAACTCCGACCACATC